ATCCTCCTATATATTGGCCTTCTCCAAAGATGTCCATTTTTCTCGGTGTCGTGCTATGCAGCACCAATCTATGGCAGCAGTTCTTTTTAAGTCGTCTTCCCAGCGTGTCGACGGTTTCCGAAATTAATATTAACTAAATACTGTCTATAATTCACGCGAGAAGTACATTTAAATAAAACACTTTTCTTGTCTCCCCGTGACCGCGGGTGCTGCAAAGCATCCGAAACGTCGGGCCGAAGTTAAAAATAATTTTCAAATAAGTTTAACTAATATATCGCGTTTTAAACCGTTAAAGTGTTTTATTTAAATTAATATTAACTGTTAATTAAAATACGAGCGGCCAGAGTTAAAAATAAATTGCTAATAACTGAAGGCTTACTTATTTGCATATTGAGAACTAGCTGCGGCAGCGACTACGTTTTTTAGATCGTTTAAAGAGGAATCATTTTTCATACAAATTTTTTTTTAATATCGCAACGGTAACCCGCAAAGATAAATGTCTTGTTTTTCCTTAATTTCCAACTATATCTTTCGTTCCTACTAAACGCAGCGTAGTTTTATAGCCTATACCCTACCTCAATAAGTACTCTAACCAATACAAAACAAGTAATTTTCAATTTGAACTACTAGTTCCTGACATTAGCGCATTCAAATAAACAAAATCTTCATCTTTATATATTAGTATGGATTTAACGAAACATACGTTGTTTCTATAAGACAAACATCGGTTTGCGTTATCTGACACAAATAGACGTGAATAAGTCAGTTTGCAGTACTGTAATGGCGTGTGTCAAATCGTAATGCGCCTGACCCGACATTTACCGGTCATCATCGTGCGAATGATATTTCGAGAAACGATTAGGGAAACGATAATCTAACCAAATATAAACTACCTTTCAAATTACTTTTAAAAAATATATATGAATCAAGACAGTATAAGTTCTACAGCGGATCTGAATTAGATGTTATTAAGTAGCCTAAGACAGCGGATTTGATGCCTTCTAGTTCGAATGTGTACTTCAGTTTTTGATCTAAGCTTGACCAGACATTCATTGTTATATGCTATAAGCACCATCCAAGTAAACACTATACTTAGATTTTTTAGAACTTAACACTAATAACGTAATACACTTAACACAGAGAATTATTATTTTTTGCGTTTTAAACCATTGACAGTGATTTGTATTATTAAAAGTATAATTGACTCGACGGGATCGTCGGTATTAATGTACAGCTGATAATCAACGGGTCGTGGATTCGATCACCATCGGGCCCAACATGTCTCTAATTTTTCAATTTATATTTATTCTGAAACATTGAAATAAAACACTTTAACGGTTTAAAACGCAGCCGAAACGTCGGGCCGAAGTTAAAAATCATTTCCGAATAAGTTTAACTAATATATCGCGTTTTAAACTATAGACAGTATTTTATTCTGAAACATGTTGGGTCCACCACCGTCCACAGATGAAAAAGCCGTGAAGCTTAATCGAGTTTCCATTTCAGTCTGTGGATTTTCGAATATTTGAACTCAAATAGGCCGACTGCAAATCTTATTTAGATGCTATAGGCTGGGATAAAAAACCTACCATCAATTAAACTTGCTTGTGTGTCGTATATCATTAAAAAAGATTAAACTACAATACGAACTAAGAATTTAAAAAAGTTGTCTGATATTACCTATCTGTGTAGTAACCATAGTATTTGTAGATTATATATTTTACTGAAGCTAATATATTTTTCAGGAAGATCAGGGCGTATGAAATTACGTCTATCGAAACTGACGGCTAGTTTAAAAAAATTGCGTCATAAAGGTATGTTTTGGGGAAATCGTCAACGTGTGATAGATATCTTGTGTGTAGTTACTTGATTTTTGAAGGTCTAAATTCTTTTATGTAGATAATGTGTTTATAGTCCTAATAGATATGTTTGTTAAAAATCTATTTAAATTGCAAAAAAATTAAGACACTGGTGGGTCTTGAACTGGCATGCACAGCGTTCCGTGCTACTGCTCTAACCAATTGACCTGCCGTGTCTTAAATAGATTTTTAATGTCGTATTGTTGTGTTGTGGAAAAAATATAAAGCTTTCAAACTATGTTTGGTCCTAGTACACATTTGTATATCTGGGTGTCTTCAAATTTAAACAACATTTAAATTTACCTAGTTTTTGGGAAACACGACCATTCTACTTTTTACTGTCTTTTATCCTACAAAATAAGGGGCAGGTAAGTTTTACAATTGTTCCTGTGGTAAATATGAATTTTCTACCTCTTTCTTTTTCTCTAATAATGGGTAAATGTAGAATTTTAAATTGTATTTTCATATTTACGTTAATTACAAACCAATACAACTTAGCACCGGTGCGTAACACACATCATTATCGTCATACGTTTGCTACCCGTTTCTTAACATTGTTTGAAGATAAATATAAAGGAATTAATAAAAGATCAATTCGGCTAAACAATATTTATGGGAAATCTGGAGAAGTTTAAAAAAAACATACTTACGTTTTCTCCAAAATATTTTGCCGTCTACCCTCAGAATTTTCTTGCGTATTGTCTCCTTCCGTCATAGATTTTTATATAGGCTGTTTATTAATCTAAAAAAGCTGTCTATAAGAACATATTTTTGTTTAATACATAAACAAATAAATGTTTATTTATAATTTAGCTAGCTATCCAGGACGAATGATTTTCCAAGTATAGGTTATGAAATAAAATTATGTATAGCTGTGACTTGTATAATTTCCCGCCTTTAATTACCAAGTTCCATATTACATGTACCCTTAATTCTCTTATAACCCTAATACATCACTCCCACCCCAAAGCTAACCTTATATTAGCGTAAAGTGTTTAGGTACACATGTCTGTCCTTTGTCGCAGTGATATATGCATGGTCGCCACATAATATATTATTAATATTATTTCTAGAAAGATTGTTGAAAAAATAAGTCACTTTTTAAATACTTAATATGTAATGCTCACTATAACTTATTTAAGTCAAAACGTGTCATCACACACTGACTTGAACGTACAACCGAAGACCATGTATCATTATAAATTCTAGAAAATCTCAATTCAAAAAGAATTCAATGACAAAAAGCCTCTAACTTCTAGTACTAACCATATAAGTTACACATAATATTTCGTATTAGTTTATGCCTGTGTAGCTCAATGTTTTTTTGGGTTTGAAGCCAGTGAAAAGGACACAGAAATGTGTCCTAAGCCCCACAAGGGGTAACAGGATTCCACACATAAACACTTTAAGTTAAGTGTTTTCTTTCTTTGTTTATTAATTATGAATGTTTATATTCCTTTTTAACGTTATTATATTTTCAAACTACAAATATACACAACAAATTAGAAATTGTAATACGCAAGGTATAATATAAATTATTCCTTGAAATTAAGGTATTTGCATAACGAAGAGGTATTATGTTGAGTGTGTTTCTTGCGTCGTTAGCTTCCTCTTGACTTTGTTTATATCTCATTATGAATCGAGTCTTTCGGATGAAAATGATACGTTCACCTTATGAAGTCTTCCGTTCCCATGTTTTGAAGAATTAGGGGAGGAACGTAGCGTAATGATATTGATAGAACGCCATTTTGAAAAACAAGAGAATACTTTGCGAATGCGATATTTCGAAATTTAATTTAGAATTTCGAATTATCTTATCACAAATATAAATTAAGTTTTTTTATAGGTCAGCCACACATCGAAGCTTATAAAAAGATACATTTTAACATTTATGATTCAACCATCTGGTTATATATAATTAGTAATAGTGCACTAGGATTCATTTTCCGTGTCAATTTCAAAATGTTGAAAAAATTTAAATTTTAGTGTTACATATATTTTTGTAAACAAATAAAATAAACAGTCTAGAGATGATAAAAGAATGTTCATATACGTAATTTTTTAAAATCTATTCAAGGGTTTTTTCAGGGCTGGACCGCGAGGGTACGCGTTATCCATTTCACCCCTTCAATCGATTTAACGGCCGATAAATTATTACTTTTCAGATTTATAACAGTTTTATCACAAAAACGTTACTCGACAGACAAATAAATTTCAGAGGGATTTGTTCTATATTCATTTATCATCTAAGACGAGGGCTAGCTTAAAATATTTTAAGCGTTTTTCATACTTTAATAATTATTGTAATTGATTGTACAAAGACGCATTACGTCGACGGGAATTGAATCCACGTCCTAACGAACAGCTTAGTGTGTTGTGGTTTCGAATAAGAAACATTATTTCACCTCTGCAACATGGGTTAATAGTTTTAATACAGCGATACTATGGTTTAATAGTTAGTATTGCGATAAGCGTAAGTCGTCCTGGGTTGGAATCCACTGAAATCATATATAAACATTTCAATGTCTTCTGCTTTGTAACGCAAGTGTTAAGGTTGAAAAAACATTGCGCGAGAGATTCCATGTATTATTAGTTTGAAATAATTTCACGGTGACTACTCGACTCGGTTCGAGTCCTGCCCGAGTCGCATATTTTTCCAATTTATAATTTATTTTAAAATATATAGTGCCATCATGTGCAACATTTGAATGATATTAAAGTTTTTTAAACACATACATATACACATATATTGTTTAGTATTCTAAGGAATAGATTCTATCCTCCATACTAATATATAAAACTGAAGAGTTTGTTTGTTCAAACTCAGGAACTACTGGTCAAATTGAAAAATTATCTTTGTGTTTGTTAGAGCATTTATTGAGAAAGGTATGTAGAGTTGAAGAGATTGTGTAAGGCTTTTACGGCCATCGTTCAGCATATCATTGTCTTTCGGGCTGTTCGGCCCAAATATTCTACGTGGACGAAGTCCCTGACACAGGTAGTACGTATGTGACACAAAACTATTAACAAAAGGGATGCCCTTATTTAAATAGTTTTTAACAGTAATCAACTCGTCTTTTAAAATCTGTGTGTCGCGTGTTTAATAAATATAATTATAAAATGTGAAATCTGTATCAAATAATGTCATTTAAAGTTATAGCACTGCGGCGAGGTATCAGAGCCACTGTCCCGGGCGTATAATATAATTTAACAGATAATTTACATATTTCCCGGAAATATAAAACTCCTGGGAGAGCGCTCGCCGAGAAGATTCGATAAGTTTAGTCCTTTTAAATTTCCCCGCGAATTCCGCTTGTCATAAACGTCCTGTCTAACTTTGTCACGATGTTTTAATAGAATAGGATATATTAACGTCAGTTTGTATTTATATATCTGCCTATAAATATAAGAAGAGCTGTGCCTGCGACTTCGTCCGCGTGGAATAGTGACTTGGGGTAGAATTTTTAATTATTTAGGCTGTTTATTAATTTATGTAAGGGCGCATTTAAGGCAGCCAATCTATGATGTAAGTGCTACTTTGCCGCAACACACCGTCTCTTCACTCCTACTCTAACTCCCACTTTAATTCCTACGCTGGAACACTACTATTCCCAAAAAGCCAAAGAAGAAAGTATCATTGCAGCTTCAAAAACTACGAATTTCCATACAAACTTTCATCCCCCTTTTCAACCCCTAACAACCCTTTTTTGGCATTAAAGCCTATGTTCTTTCTGAGGCTCTAAAAAATCTGTGTACCAAATTTCATTGAAATCAGTTCTGTAGTTTGGGCGCTAAAGCCGGACAAACAGACAGACAGTGTTACTTTCGCATTTATAATATTAGTATAAATGTTAACAAATATATATTTTGACAAGCTCGTTGGTCTAAAGGTATTGCTAATAGTCAACAGTTCGCGACTTCGATCCCCATCAGGTTCAATGTGTTTCTAATATTTTTATATTTTTTCTGAAATGTTATACTAAGTCCGGGTCATAGACCACTGTGCAAAAATGAAAAAGCCGTGAAGTTTCATCGCGTTTTGGTTTCAGTCTTTATTTTCGAATATCCTAAGTCGAAATGGGTCGACAGCGCATCTTAGGCTTGAATTGAAATTTATGTAAGCAATTATATATATTTAAGTTATAAATATAATCATCTTGGTTGAAATGTTATTTCCCATAACATAACTAGATCGGGGTATCGCTTTTTCTGTTGATGACACATTTAATTTAAATACATACACTGTAAAATGATCAAATGTTTTTATATCAATTGTTTGAAAATTAAATAAACTAGATGTGCTTCAAGGAGAGGAACTTTCAAAAAACGAATTTTCAGGGAATCTTTCTTCAATTACAACTTTCTCTTTTCATCTTATTCACATCCCGTGAGGCCATCTCTCTCATGCAGCCTTCGTAACGAAATTTAAAAACAATCCCAAGGGCCGCGTTGCAATTTATTTTGTGTACAAGATTCTTACGCAACTCTGTCTGGGTTGGGCCAATCATTACGCGAAGAGCGATTATGTTATTTGAATAAAAAAAAATTAACTGGTTTAAACGCGAAATATTTATTTAATTTACATATACATTTTTACTATACAGTCTGTAAAGTAGTAAAAATGTGGTGTTGTTTATAAAAAATCCGTTTATCCAAAGCAAAAATGGGTCGACAGCGCATCGTGTGTAGATGATATATAACTGGGGTATTTAATCTCTCATCAAATGATCCATGTTATTCTGTCCTCTATTATTCAAAATAAAATAAAAAACAAGTGTAAAGACTGTTTTGTTTAAGTTGTACCATTTCGTAACTACATACTCGTAGAACAAATGTTGTCGAATAAAATTTAAGAAGGTATAGGTAAATCGTTTTTAAAATAAAATTAAAATAATGAATTGTTGCGATGGGATAGCATATGAAGTCTCGACTCTCATTACCCATCATTGTTTCTTATCAAACACCTGCAAAGCTATTTTTAAATAAGCCTTTTAACTCTATAATCATACACGACATCATCCGCTCCAAGTCTCATCTTGCCTCATTGAACAACAAAATCATAACTTGCTTGGAGCCAGCTCAATCGCAAACCTAGATTCAGGCGATTCGTAGCTCTCTCTGCGGTTTCTCCTATAACTTGTACAAAGCTTTAACGACATAAAATATGTATGTTATATATGTATGTCTTTACAAGTACAGAAGTTTGAAATATATCGGAATCCTTTAATATCAACCTGTAATCTGCTGTGTTTGGTAGCTTACGTGAATAGTGCAATTTTAAAATGCTTAACGGTTAAATATTCTCTGTAGTTTACACGCGCGAGTAGTACACATTTAAATAAAACACTTTAACAGTTTAAAACGCGATATATTTTAGTCACACAGGTAGGAGACACAGGTGTCTCCTCGTGACCACGGCAGCGGCAAATCATCCAAAACGTCAGGTCGTTTAAAGAAGTTTCACTAAAATATATCGCGTTTCAAACTGTTAAAGTGTTTTATTTAAATGCTTAATGGTTTATAACGTGAAATATATTTTACTAATTTGTCTATGACGTCCATGCAGCAGTGGTGGTCAAGGAATATATTTCGTATGAAACCGTTAAAAGTGTTTAATTTAAATAAATCTGTAGTTTACACGAGTAAAACACACCTAGAGTGAGTTCTTTAAATGGGCGAGAACGAAAATTGTAATAGTTAACTTTAGTTTTTTAGCTACGACCTAATTTTGCGATGGCTTTCACCAGCTGTGCTCACTGGGTGTGTTTGGGGGGTTACTAAACATGGTGATCCTACAATTTTTTTTAATTTTTTTAATTATAATCATGGTCGCTGAGCATCCAACATTCAACAATTGAAATCATATTAAAAAAATAACTTGCGTATTTCTAGTATTCTATAATTCTATAATATTTATTAATGTGTTTACTGTATAAGTTCCAAAAACTCCTGAACGCCTTTCCCTACAAAAAGTTAATCCCTCATCCCTTCGTTTACAGTTCGTAGCTGCCCGTAGCACGTATCTGAAATTCGTAGCACGCCTACGGACCTACGAACTCCACGAATCGTTACTGTACCGCAGACGCAAAACTATTTCTAGGGTTTTTCTTTATTTCATAGCAAATATTATTAACGGTTTAAAACGTAATTTTTATTAGTTAACTTGTTCTTATCTGCGACGATGTACAGCTTTTTAGCAGCCGCGGTCACGGAGCAACTGCGGTGAATACTGTTTTATTTAGATTATAAGTAATTTTTAAATATATTTTTTTAGACCATAATTGTATAATCAATAATGACTTGAAACAGCAATATTTACGTGATAATTATAGTTGTGCTAGACATATATATCAAACTATGTCGTTCAATATATATTGTCTGTTGTAGATATTCGCCCTGACCAAGCAGAATACCTTTGTAATGTTATTATCTGTTATATATAACAATATAACTAACGTTGGCCTAATGGTAGCAATAAGGCCCAATATGGGTTTGAACCCATATTGGGTCCAAAGTTTTTTTTATGAGACTATTATTTAAATAAAACACTTTAATGGTTTAACACGCGATATATTCGCTAAACTTATTGAAAATTATTTTTAACTTCGGCCCGACGTTTCGGCTGCTGCACCGTTCAATAATTTATTTAAATGTGTACTACTCGCGTAAACTATAGACAGAGTGTATTATTTTTCTGAAACATTTTGGACATCATCTTGAAATCTGAATATTAAGTGGGTGGTAGGAAAATTGAAATATTGTTTCTTGAATTACTTGAACACAACTAGGACAAGAAACGGGGTATATAAGAATATAGAGGTATTAAATTAATGTAGCTTAATGATAAAAGCTAGGTTATTTTGCTATAATTTATTAATTTAATGTTAGCCAGCTTGCTATTACAATATCGTAAAACTCGTTATGCCATAACAAGAGGTAGTTCTTTGCAAGTTATACGCCTCGTTAACTCGCCTTTTCAAGATCTTAGCGCCCCACTATGTAGTCCAAGGACTAAGATTTTTGCAGATTTATGAAATTTCAAAGTCATGTTGTTTATTATTTTTTATTATTTGCGTAAAGATAGAAAGATATGTACGGACCAACATCATAATCTCCTTACTTTAGCGAAAATTAATTTAATCTTATATAAAATTTAAACGAATTATTAATCTATTTAAATTATTAAAAGTTGGAAATACAATATATAGGTATATTTTTCCTACTTTTTGTTTATAATTATAATTTGTTTTAAGATTCAGTAGTTGACTCTTGGTTTTATTAAAATCTATTTATGCTAATAATTTTTTTATTAAAATATTAGAAAACCAAAACCGTTTATTAAATAATTTCTAAATTATTTACGAGCGGGATTCAAATCCACGACAACAACATTCCATGCTCTTTACACGACACGGTAGCTCACTTGGTACAAAAGTGGCCGGGGAGTTCGAATCTCGTTAATATCACAAAATTTCCATCAGTCTATTTATATGTTTAATTCGTAATTTCATTTAAAATTCGATAAACATTCTTAATTATGAAATAGATAAAAGTTTAACTCACCGTAAAAGCCTTAACGTCTCGAAGATTTGTCATAAACGTGAGTGTATTGTGAAACGGTCGGCACTCTCGTTAACTTGGTCGTAAAACGTTAAAAATTGGACCTCGAGCGCTTCCACTGAGGGAAACCAGAAAACTATTAAATTTTATGCTCGACCCAGAGCGGACATTTTTAACTACTAATACTTTGAGACGTTAAATATCCGGAAGAGAAATTGAAAGACGACATTGTAGTTTTGTCTGTAGTACACATTTAAAAAAAAAACAAGTTTTAAACCGTTACATTGTTTGTTGTAAACTTATTTTTAATTAGGGTCGATTTCATCTTCAGTCTCCCAAGACCGCGGCTGCTACAAAGGTTTTAAAACGTCGGACTGTAGTTGAATTCAAAATTTTAGTTTATTAATTTAAAATAGTGATGCGCCGGTTTTTAACGCTGCATAGCCCCCTCCTGGATTAGAAGTAATTATTAAAAATATTAAATACCGTCTGTAGTTTACGCGAGTACACATTTAAATACAATATCGCGTTTCAAACAATTAAAAACACTTTAACGGTTTAAAACGCGATATATTGTAGTTAAAAATAATTTTTAAACAAGTTTTTAAACGGAATTCCTCTGTGACCACGATTGCAAGACGTCCGGCCTTAAATAAGTTATATTTCGGGTAACTGTGAGTTTTATTATATGTGTACTACTCGCGTAATTTACAAACAATACGGTACAATGTTAACGACTTTGGTTATTAACGAAGTAAATATAAAATGAGAGAAGCCTGTATTGTAAACGAGTCCAGGCCATCCTATCGCGTCATTACACAAATTGGCTCTATGTTTTATTCAATAGGGCAATAAAGCTTGACCTTTTGTACTCGTACAGTCGTGGTATCATAGATCCTTCTACTAACTCTTTTTTATTTGTGTGTGGGTGTGAGAGTATTCTTTCCGACGGTCACATTGGATCGGTAGATGAGCTACGTATCTTTCAAAGATGTATAATTAATTTCTATACTTTAACACGTTAGATTAAAACAACTCTCTTTTAGTGTGTAGTGCAATTATTTAATTTATTTTTAAGTGACTTTGATGTCATAGGGCTGAGACACATTAGAAACACTGTCTATAGTTTGTAGAGTAGTACACATTTAAATAAAACACTTTACCCGTTTAAAACGCGATACATATTAGTGAAACCTATTTGAAAATTATTTAGCTACGACCCGACGTTTTGAACGTCACCCCGTAATCGTCACGCACACCACACGATCACCACAAACGTCGGGCCGTAGTTAAAATGATTTTCAAATAAGTTTAACTAATATATATCGCTTTTTAAACCGTTAAAGTGTTTTATTTATACACAATAAAAGCGTTTGTTATATTTATCTTTTTATATGTTTCAGGCGACACAATATGCCCCAATGGCATGTTCCGTTGTGCTGATGGAAAGTGCATACCGGCTCTATGGGTCTGCAATTACCAGCAGGATTGTGAGAGGGGGGAAGATGAGCTGCAGTCTTGCCGTAAGTATTTTAATGAGACATTGAACTTAGATTTTACTGAGATTAGCACATACAAACAAACAAACTGTTCAGTTTTTTAAGTTGCATTTTATACCTATACAAACTTTACAAGGAAGGGTGTATTTCTTTGTTTAAACGCACTCAGGAACTACTGGTTTGAATTGAAAAAAAAATACATTTTTGAGTAGTGATAAACTTTTGATTTAATCATCATCAATCAAACATCTGAAAATATGAACGTACATAGGACTCTCTACCCTTGTAAGAAAAAATAAGACATCGCCGACCTCCCCCCAAATCATCTTACATAATAAATGAATGGCGTAAAAATGTACACGATAAGCGTCCATTCACCGTTTAAATTAGTTATGTTACAACCATATTTTATTCGCTTCGGGCTCACAAATGTCCGAATAGGATGGATACGTAAAAATTTCGCGACTAAGCTCCCTTATTCACCCGCCATTGTTGCACACGATATTTGACAGCTTGACATATTTCGCGCGCTTTTTCGCGTCAACAGAGATTTAAGTTTGGTTAATAGCCGGGGCTTTTTTTTATTTATTAAGTATACATACATTCAACGGTTTTAAATACGAAATATATTTATTAAGTTATACTTAATTTATTATAACAACGGAACGACGTTTTAGATGCTTTTAAAATGTAGCATAGTTAAACGCTTAAATATAGGTTACTTAATATATTACGTGATTTAAACAGTTACAAGTGTTTTATTTGGATGTAGGTACTACTCGCGTAATCTACGGACAGTATTTGGTTAAGCGTTGTCTAGCATTTCGTATGGGATAAGTCCAAGGTTCGAATCTTGGAAAAAATAAATTGTTTTCATAGGACATGGGGGGTTTTGTGTTCCAAATTTTGGAAAATTGTAGTTTCCTCGAGTAGTACATGTTTAATAAAACACTCTAAAGGGTTTAAAACGCCAAATATATCAGTCATCTATAACTACGGCCCAAGCGAAACGGACCTATAAATTAAACCGTCTCATTTAAATTATTTCGGACAAATTAAATTTAAAAGAGCTTTGCAAACACTTCTATTCTCCATTCACACTTCGTTATTAGATCTATTGAATTGTTCGTCGTACAAAACCTTTTATTCCCAGCGCTCCAGAGCTATGCGTGTGTACTTTATCTCCATTCGTTTGATCGACAATTGTTTAGCAAAACGATGTTTAAAAGCAATTAATTTGAACACGATAAAGCATTGAGCGATTAAACAATGAACCGATCCAATCGTTTAACCCGTCAAGCGTGAATTCAATCACAGCAGATAAGGGCCCTACACCTGCAGGACCATCGAGCCCTGGAAAGCATCCAGCCCCTCGCGCCCTTGTGATTGATGATCGACACTGATTACAGGTCGAGTAACCTTTGTTTAGGCTGCGGTCTGAATATCCAAAGCCAAAAATAGTTCGACAGCGCAACCTTGGGTGACTGTATTGGGGTTTTATGTGCCTGGGGTATTTTGCCCTCCTCTATTAATAAAAAAAACTCTTTAAATCCCCCACTATAATGTACTGTGGTTGTCTCTTTCACTCATTCAAACCGTGTCACTAATTATTTGCAAAGTAGTCTGTAGTTTACGCGGGTCGTACATAAATTTAATAAAACTTTTTTAACCGTTTAATATGCTTTTATACTACGTTTCTTATTTTAGCTACGATACGTCGATTGTGATTCTTTGCAACAATCGTAGTCATGGGGGGGCTACTATAGTTAAAAATAAGCTAACAAGTATTTTTCGCTTTAAAAAGTGTCCTATTTTTATAGAATAAATATACAATATTCTATTATTTTACGCGATCTATATTTTTTCGTGGGTTTGATCCCCGCCGGATCCAATATGTTTCTAACCAAGTGAATCATGCTTGTGTAACCTCTATCATAATAATACGCTGCGCTAGGTGGGGTCTATAACGTTTATAGCAGACCGCAGCCTTAATGACAGGGGAGGATTGATCCCTTCTATGTGTTGTGAATGTTTATCAGTCGGCATGCCATGTTAGAACAATTACAGCAATGAATGTGCCCGTTCTTCGACCTTTCCACTATTTATTGGAAGGTTGGATTTATTGTCCTTCTCGTGTTTAGAGTTTATAGGTGAACGCGGTTCTAAATATAGCTTTGAGATTTACCAATTGAAAAGAAGCGTTTTCTTATCTCCAAGTCCCTTATAAATTACCTTTAGTTTAAATAAGTCATGGTAAAAGATTAAAAATCGAAAATAAATTGAAAAAAATTCTACCAATTGAGCTACCGAGTCAGGAAGGAAAAAATTTTTTAAATTTATTTTCGATTTTTAAATTACAATGATATAATGTTTTTTTTTGTATGTATAAACTACAATACTTATCTTTCTTCCTCCTTTTCAGAGCCCCCGGAGTGCGAAGCGGGCCAGCTGACCTGCGGCCAGTACGTCTGGAATAAGACATATTGTATACCCCCGCATTACCGATGTGACATGCACGTGGACTGTGTAGATGGAACTGACGAAGCCGACTGCAGTGAGTATACACCCTTATTTAGAAGTATCAGCGTCACCGAAGCACCACTTCGCCCCAAAACTTTGCTTCATTTGGACCATCCAGATATAGTTTCCTGCTCTGACCGTAGAATGAAAATTCTTTTTTGAATGTCTATGTACATATATTATTTTCTCTTTACGTTTAAGTTTCTAGATTTGACGAGCTCGTTGGTCTTGTGATAGTAATAATCACCGGGTCCAACATTTATGTAATAAATTTATAAATTTTCTGAAACATGTTGGACTTCGTCTTGATATTGGGTGGTAGTGTCGGAATACCGTCCAGGTAACGAAGAGCCACAAATTAAAAAGCGTATAGATTAATCGCGTTTCGGTTTTAGTCTGTGGAATAGGCCTATAGCGCATCTTCTTGAGATGTCATAGTAGAAGATTAGTTCAAATTCAGTTTTACCGGATTTCCAATTCACAGGTTAAACCCAATATTGGAACTCGGCTAAAATACAGTGGAAAAAAATCAACTACGGTTCAAAGTTAAAATTGTATGCTTATTTTAACAGGCTAGATATAAAAATATGATCTTTACATTATTTCTGTAGGAAATCAAAGTAGTAAAATACAAAATAGAGATGAAAGGAACATAAGTAACATATAATTTTTATTTTTTCTAGAACAAATATGCGAAATTGTAGAATTTTTAAGCTAAATTATTCAAATGACATTCAATTTCGTCCGTCTCATAATATTAAGCGAAGTTTGTTTTTCTTTTTCAATTTCTAAAGAATATCGCGGTATCAAAGTTTATTTCATTGTATGATGTGGATGTTACAGCTTGTCTAGCGTAGGACGGTAGTAATATTAAATAGAGATGTAATCGCTGATAGAGGTAGATATCAATATGTCATATATAGGTTTTTAAAAATACATCAAGAAGCCAATAGTATAAGTGCGCGATAATATAAAAAAAAAAACACTTTTTTTACCATTTTCATCATTGTAAAGTAATTGTCTTCGTGTGTGCTACAAAGGGCCCCAAACGTAACATAATTTCAAAATAACTTTACTAATACATTTCGCGTATTAAACCCTAGACTCTGATATCTGATTTTAATACCTTAGCTTTGTTAAAGACTCAGCCGTTTCGGAGATGTTAGTTAGCACAAGAATTCTATAAATTTGCTTACCTAAATAAAAATCTATAATTAAAAGAAATTACGACACGAGTTCCGTTATGCTGCTCTAACCAATTAAGCTACCGTGTCGTTATTACATATTGCAATAGTTATTGGTTTTCACAATTAAGAATAAACAAAGACAATTAATCAAACGTTTAGTATTTCTATTCACTAGCGAGAATAATACCATATTTCATAAGCGTAAATTCTTAAACTTATCGTCATATATTGGACCATGTTTATATAATCCGTCAGGCACAGGGTTTGACAGAGCGTGCGGCGTGCCCGCTGGCTGTCAAGAGCTGTACGAAGTCCCCACAACTTTTAATTGCCTGGAAATTGACTTTTTACATCCGCCCATACACTGACAACTAATTAATTAGTTCTCTGCGCATAGTTTATTAGGCCTTGAATTAATTAATGTTCCAAAGTTCCAGAATTCACTTCATTCACCCCCATTTTCCCTTGTGGGTTGGCGCACATAATGTGTCTTTATTGCATTTTATCGACTCATTTAACAAAAATATTGATAAAATTTCTATACACGCCTCAAGCAAATTTTATCTTTTCTGGAATTTGAACCAAGGTCTCCCAGCATTAATTAATCCAATTCCTAATTATGGTTGCAATTACGGATTCAGAGAAACTAACACATTTCTCAGATCAGATCTAATTACACAATAGTCTCTATAAAACACATTGAACGGTTCAAAACGCAATTTATATCTACTAAACTATATGTTTATAGTGATTTATTAATGTGTGCCTTAAATAAATACACCTGCATACTGCTTTTAAATACAGCAAAAATAAATACCATTTACATATTGGTATCAAAATGCTGATTACAGTTTTGTGGTTTTTGTGGAAAAATGTAAAATTATATAGAAACATGTTGCAAAAGAGAAATATATTTTTTAAGATTTTTCACTTCTAAAACTGGATTATAAAATACTTCATTCGCAAAGACCAATTTTTCAGTGTGATATAAAACATCGCGGTTCGGACTTTAAAACAAGTCTGATTGCAGAAAAAGTTTTAATAGACTGGAATTATTGTATTTCTTTTCACTTCTTTTATTGTGAAGTGACTGAGAATATAAACCTAGCTTTTACAAACTTGTGACTTTGTTTAAGATTGTTTTTATTTTTATTTTATATATATGGCAAACCTAATTTTTCAATTTTACATTATTTCTAGCGAGTCTAGAATAAGGAAGTACCTACTGAATACTGTCTATAGTTTACGCGAGTAGTACACATTTGAATCAAACACTTTAACACGTGGTCTTCCCGTGACCCGGCTGCTGTAAAGCATCCGAAACGTCGGGCCGAAGGTAAAAATCATTTTTAAATAAAACATTTTAACTAATATATCGCGTTTTAAACCGTTAAAGTGTTTTATTTAAATGTGTACTACTCGTGTAAACTATAGACAGTGTTTAAAAATAATTTTCAAATAAGTTTAACTAATACATATATCGCGTTTTAAACATTTAAAGTGTTTTATTTAAAAGTACCTACTGTCTGTTGTATGCTAGTGCATCTATATTTATTTATTTATACAAGGCTTACTAACTACATACATAATTACAGAGAGAATAAGTACAGATCTATTTCTAATAATTATTATTACTACTGTATAAAACACTATAAATATGTTAGTTAATTTATTACCAATTTATTTTAACTACGGCCTGACGTTACGGATGCCTTGCAGCAGCCGTGGTGGATAACAATTATTATAATAATAAAAATTACATTAAAATAAGGGTTGGTGATAGAAGGATAAACATTGATTATTTATGTGCCACATGAATTTGCCAAAATAAAGTTAGAGATAGACAATCCCTATTGTTTAGGGACATGGAATATTTAAAACTGCGATTCTAACCTTAGCAAATATGCTTGTTCAATTTCATCTCATCAAAATCGGCCAAGTCGTTCCGGGAGAGGAGGACAACGTACAACGTACACACGAATAATCTATATGAATATTAGTATAGATTATTCGATATAAATGCAAAAGTAATTCTGTCTGTCTGTCTGCCTGTCTGTCCGGCTTTAACTCCGAAATAACTGAACTGATTTAAGTGAAATTTGATACACGGATATTTTAGAGCCTGAGAAAGGACATAGGCTACTTTTTAATGCCAAAGAAGGGCTGATAGGAGTTGAAAAGGGGGATTAAAGTTTGTGCGTAAATTCGTGGTTTTTGAAGCTCGAACAATGAAATTTTCTTCTTTGGCTTTTTGGGAATAGGAGTAGAAGTGGGAGTGGGGGTGGGAGTGGGCGTCAGAGTGGGAAGTGAGTGTAGGAATGAGAGTGGGAGTTAGAGTTGGAGTGATGTGAGGTGACAGTGTAGCGGCAAAGTAGCACTTACAACATAGATTGGCTGATTTAAATGAGCCCTTACATAAATTAACAAACAGCCTAAATAATTAAAAAATCTACCCCAAGTCACTGTTCGCGTAAGTCGCGGCCACAGCTAGTATACCTAAATTAAGTGAATCAAATAGTATACATTTTTCCATAAACATCTGAAAGAAATAACTGACAGCATTGTACATATTTCGGACAGTCGGATCTAAAAGAATATGATAAATTGAACCATTTAATGTCTGTGTAATGTCATTTCTTCTTTGTTTATTGTTTGGCTGTTTCAAGCTTACCTTAATTCTTAATTTTGTTTTATAGCTAGTAGAAAACCAGACACATATCATAACAGCCGTGGAGTTTAATAGCGTTTCGGTTGCAGTCTGTTTTTATCCATATATCAAGAGGCACAATAGGCAGAGTGGCCTAATAACAAACATTATTTTCAATAAGGAAAATTACAAATGCGCAATTAACTGAGGAAAATGAATTTGTACCAATATTTGCTTAAGAATTATGTTAACAGGACTTGAACCGACATCGTCAGCGTCCTCGGTCTGGTGCTCTTGACTCGGTAGCTCAATTGATATAGCAACAGCACGGAACGCTGACGATGCCGGTTCAAGTACTGCCCGAGTCGAATGTTTTTTCAATTTTTAAATTATACCGATGTACATTGTAACTGACATAAGTCGTAAATTATATTGGCGTTAAGCTTATGTTATATATATAGGATTGACTGACCGTTGTACAAATATCATACTTTATCATTTGTTGATTTCAAACTTCATAGTTTAGTGGTAAATAAAAGGCAAAAGGTACAAATACTATCGCGAGACCGAAAACTAAAACCAATTAGTTAAAAGGTGATAAGAGCATGTGACGTCACAGTTCACACAACGACGCAGTGACCCGGAAACGGAAGGCGTCTCCGGAGACAACACGAACCTGGTCGCACACTCTCCCTGACACAGAAGAACGAATCTTGTAAATAAAACATTTTAACGGTTTCAAACGCGATATATATTACTATAACTTATTCTTAATTTTGCAACGCAAAAATACGATACGAATACCTATATTAAAAACTCTGGATTCTGAAAAACAGTATACCGCAGATGGCGCTAGTTTGGCAGTTTTTACTTTGACGTCATGCTATAAATAGGGTCTCAGAGACACCCTATTTATAGCACATATTTAATTGACCATTAATGATTTCCAGTCTAAATATATACTAACAATACAAATTACTGCGAAATGTCAATGATACTATTTTTAATACCCTTTGCATTTTTCTCTTACATCAGATATTTTATATAAACACTTGAAGTCGACGTGCACCTTTACTTAAATCTTTGCAAACGAGATTAGATGGGTTTATATCTCAAGCACACACGGATTAAATTCGAATTACTTTCTCTTTCAACATCGAATTGATTAAAATCTAGTCAATAACCAAACCTTTGTTCATAGTTTACTTATTTAAATAAAACACTTTAACCGTTTAAAACGCGATATATTAGTTAGGTTTTAATTTCTAACAAAGCATCCGAAACCTCAGGCCGAAGTTAAACATCAATTTCAAATAAGTTTAACTAATACATATATCGCGTTTTAAACCGTTAAAGTGTTTTATTTAAATGCGGACTACTCGCGGATACTATAGACAGTATAAAGTTTACTTTTGCATTGCTAGGATAAGTATATTTAGTGATGGTATTTTATTGAGCGAAACGGTCTTTAGTTTGCGTAAGTACCCTTTTAAATAGACACCTAACGGTTTAAAACTCGAAATATTTTAAGTATTTTGCTCTTTTAAACAATTAAAAGTGTTTTATTTAAGTGTGTTTAAACAGTTTTTTGTTAACTAAACGAAGGTTTATACACCAGATATTGGAGACTTATAATGGTTTAATACCTTTATTTACATAAGAAATACATTTTACTTAAGCGAAAACACTTTTAGTTACAAAAGTTTAAGTGAATAAAAAGAAAAAAAAAATTAATTCGAACCAGTACTTCGTGAGATTAGCACTTTCAAACATACAAACAAACAAACTCTTCAGCTTTATATATTAGTAGGTATATAGATAGACTAATATTATATGCTAGTTCGAACTGACAAGTATTATTCGTAGTATATACTCCTTTCCTACTACTATACTACAGATATTTTTAATGATACACTAACACACAATTGGGTTTGACCTTAGCTGTCACTACTTAACTTTAATAAAAAAATAATAGGTACGTTTTTACGAGATGGTGCAACATTAAGGAATAAAATTATTTTTTGCGTTATTAATTTAACATAACCAGGAATATAATGGTTTTTTTTAACACTATATTAGGCAGCTAGATGCAGAGTGGCCTAATATCAAATAACATGATTTTCAATAAGGAGGAAAATAAAATTATACAATTATAAAAATTTAGGCGAAAATGAACTTATACCATTATATGGGTACGTATTTGTTAACAATTTTCGGTCACTGTGCTCTTGTAGATTAACATTTTTTACCTATTGCAGTTAGTCATAAAATTGCAGTTAGGCTACTTCGCCTCTAGCGGCTTCATATAAGATTGGTTTTCTATAATATTATCAAGCTTATGTTGTTAAGACATATTACTAGATTACCTAGATGTTCCTTGGTCTCAAGCAAATTACGATAGGCCATCAGCTATGCACTAAGCCGGAGAATGTTTTGAAAGACCTGGATAATAAGATTTTCATATAGTTATGTAAAACCTTCCTTTCAACGGCGCGAGTGCTTCAAGACGCCCTGTTTATAGAAGAGCGCCTTTGTGTCGCTTTAATACTCTTTTTGTGTTGGAATTTCGCAAAAATCCTTCAAAAATGATTGCTCTTTACACATTCTGTCATAGCATATGTAAATTAGGAACATGCAAGGAATTTAAATAAAACACTTTAACGGTTTAAAACGCGATATATTTTAGTTAAACTTGTTTGAGAAATATTTTTACCTACGGCCCGATGTTTCGGATGCTTTGCAGCAGCCAGCAAAATTATTTTTAAGCAGCGTTTTAAGCCGTTAAAGTGTTTTATTTAAATGTGTACTACTCGCGTAAACTACAGACGACAAAAGAAAGTTATTACCTCTCCCATCATTCAGTGGCGAAATCTTTTAAGATACAGTATTAGGTTTGAATCCTAAGGTAAAAATAAATATAATTTTTCTGAAACATGTTAAACTTCGTCTAGTAATCTATCATTTAAATGGGCAGTAGGAACATCCAAATTCCGTCCGGATCACGAAGCACAGCGTCCACAGGTGAAAAAACTGTATATGTAAATGTGAAAAAGTTTGATCGCGATTCGATTTCAGTCTGTGAATTTCCGAATATAGCCAACACAGGTAGACAGCGCATCGTGATTAGATGTTATATGGTTGGGTCTACTTCACCGAATATCAAGTGAATCTCGTGCTTGTCTGTCCTCCTTTATAATAAAAAATAATAATATTGTAAATTAGTTTTATAATTTTTCTTTTTATGTAGCTAAACTTATTTGAGCAAAGGCTTTCAACGACTTAGTCTAATTTATTACTTGCCCCTCAATCATTAAAACGGACACAAAAATATATCTCCCTCTCCCCCAGAGGGATAAACGTCTTACCTAGCATTGCGTTAAGCGCGAGAGGTCCTGGATTCGAATCCTAGGTAAACAAAAAACAGTTTGTTGATTTTTAAGCTTATAGTTAAAATGTAATGTCTTATTCTTTCAGCATACCGCAAGTGTCAAGTTGACGACTTTCAATGTGGAATGCAGAATTCTGACTACGGAAAGATCTCCATGACCCAGGGACCCTGCATACCAAAACAGAAGAAGTGTGACGGGTAAGAAAAACTTCACTCTGTAAGCCAATGGTCAAACGTGTTGTGTAGGACGAGAGGCCTAGGTTTGAATTTTGGGGTAACGATTTATGCTTTGTTTGGTTTGAGCATTGCTTAGAATCTAATCCATTTCTCTCTACACTACATCTACACTTAATAGATTAAAATAAGTGAACTAATATGTTTCGCCTTTCAAACCGTTAAAAGTGTTCTGTGTACAATGTTATGTATTATATCTCATACAAGCTATGAAATATTGTTGTCATTATTATGTTAGAATAATTGAATTTAATTATGACGTATGTGTTATTGACTTATAATAAATAAATTAAATTAAATCATAGATTATAATATGATCACCGTCAGACTTTTAGCAACTCGTTATTTCTTTATTTCAGATATTTAGACTGTAGAACGGGCAAAGATGAAGAAGACTGTCCAGGCAGCTTGACGAGCTGTCGGCTGGACCAATTCCGTTGCGCGAAGGGGGACAAATGTGTGGAGGCTAGTGCCAAGTGTGACCACAAGGACGACTGTGGAGATAATTCGGACGAAGTAGATTGTAGTAAGTTATTCATTTATCTATAATCGCGTTAGAGGACAATTTTTACCTAGAAAAACAAACATTAGTAAACATTTTAATTAAAACACGTTTAACGGTTTAATACGTGAATAAAAGAATTCTTAGCTGAAAATTGAGATTTAATGTCACATTACGGCTTTAAGAGAAACAAAAACATTCAATGACAATAATATTTCAAATTAAACACATGTAACGGCTGTAAATGCTAATAAAAGTTTAATTATACAATGATTAACTTATTTTAACCGATTTATATCAGCCGCGGTCGGGGGAAGGTCAAAAAGGTGGTTTTGTTTAATGTGTCAAGTTAAATGTGTATACCACGACTGCCTTTTTCCTGTCTGTATCTCAATAAAGTTTGGTCTCCTGGATTGAAAAAAATGCTTCCTCTTTTAACTTCTACGTATGTTTTTCAGGTTTCCCCCCATGTCATATGGGCCAATTCCGATGCAGTAACGAGTTATGTATACCCTCGACATACCACTGCGATGGTTATAAGGACTGTGCTGATGGCTCCGATGAAGCCAACTGCACTGCTATAACATGTCCAGACAACAAGTACTTGTGTCCAAGAGGCGGACCTGGAGGAACACACAAGTGTATCGCGCGATCACAGCTGTGCAATGGGAAAAAGGACTGCGAAGATAATGCTGATGAAGAAGCCGCTTGTTGTAAGTGCTGTTTTTGAATGTCGTGTCTGTAAAACAGACGAATATACGACACTTCATAGTTTACGCGAGTAGTACACATTTAAATGAAACACGGTTTAAAACGTGATATATTAGTTAAACTTATTTGAAAATCTCTCTTCGAAAGTCTCCTCGTGACCACGGCTGCTGCAGAGCATCCGAAACGTCGGGCCGAAGTTAAAAATCATTTTCAAATAAGTTTAACTAATATATCGCGTTTTAAACCGTTAAAGTGTTTTATTTAAAAGTATTTAAGCTACCATGTCTTAAGCGTCATCCTCGATAATGTTACACACTTAAGTATCTTGTATCAAATAATTGATTATCAACTTTTGCTTACAGCGACATCTTCATGCCCGGCCTTAGGTTGCGAATCAAGTTGCGTCGCGTCGCCGCTAGGAGGCGCTTGTACATGTGGTGATGGTTTGACGCTGGGTCCTGACAACCGCTCCTGTATCGACCGGGATGAGTGCCAAGAGTGGGGTCCTTGCCATCAGCTCTGTGTTAACACTCCTGGATGTAAGATTAAGTTATTATATATGATAGTTCTTCTAGAACTTTTCTACATACTAGTAGTAGTAAAGTAGCCTTCAAATGGGCCACGAAAACCTTTTACAATTTACTCACTATTATTTGTATCGCGATTTAGGCGAACTAGGTCTTTTATTAATATCAAATTAATAGCCAAACAGTTTTATTTATAACAGTCATTTACAGGTCAATCTTAAAGAGACTGAAATACTAAAAAATACAATATACATTCAGCCAAGCTGCATATGAATAAGTTTTTAAATCTATACACTTATATTCACTTATATACATGACGGCGTGGGTAGTTTATTTACAGGCAAGTAGTTGGTCAGACTTCTGTGCCCTGTTCGACCGAAACAATTTACCGTTTCCCTGGGATTCGAATCCAGGACCTCTCGCGCTTAACGCAATGGTAGGAAACGCGTTTAACCATTTAGCTACAGAGGCGGTCATACCTATATCTTCGATAAACTTATTTCAGCGTATAAGTGCGGTTGCGCACCAGGATATACACTCATCGACGGAAGCAGTTGCAAAGCTAACGCAGAACCACCGGCGCTGGTCTTAGCTCATGAAAAGGGGCTTTTACGCCTGGACCTAGAAAAACGTCTGCCTACGACCCTCGCCAATACTTCCTCAGCTGCGGGGCTTGATTACCATTACAGACGGAACTTGTTGTTCTGGTCCGATCTTAAAACTAGAAAAGGTGAGTTTTTGACAAACTTCTGTATACGACCGAATTTAAAAGTTGAGTGTGTAAGTATTATCTGCAGTTAACGCGAGTCGGAAACATTTTTAATAAAACACTTTTAACGGTTTTAAACGTGAAAAATACTAATTCCTTCTTATTTAATAAACTATGGCGTTAAGGATAGTTGTTTTTTTTTTGATTTAGATTTTATAGACACTATTTCCGAATTTATATCCATAGTTTAACTTATTGTCATAAATTTTTGTTGAATTTAAGTCAGTTATTGTGGTATAACTACTTAATTTCTAGTACTTAAGTACTTAAATTCAAACTTTAACTTAACATATTTTTTTATACTTGTGTATTTTTAGTTATTATTGTAAATATTTTATCAACAGACCTTATTCTTACATTCTTAGAAATCATATCTGTTTACTAATTTCTTTAGTCTTCAAAATATTATAGTAATTGTACTTATTCATTCCAGGTCATAAATAGCCAGTTTTAAAATATTTTAGATCAATGAATTCTAAAAGATTCAAATCTGCTTCTATTCCTTTATTATTTACGGTCAATATTATTCCAGTGTCAACTCCTAATAAATGTCATTTGTTTCTAGATCCACGCACAACACTTAAGTAGTCCAGCTGGTATCCCAAGCTACGTGGGCGGCGATATATCTGTGTCAGGGTCATGGGCACCAGTAGCTCTCGCTGTGGACTGGGTGGGAGACAAGTTGTATGTAGCTGATGCTGTAGGGCAAAAGATCGATGTATTTGAATTGGATGGAAGATGGCACGCCATAGTGTTAGGATCGAATTTGACGAGCCCGGCTGATATAGCACTTGATCCGACGTTGGGTCTAATGTTTGTAGCGGATAGTAGCCAGGTTAGTTTAGTATTTGTTTTTTTTAACCTTTTTATCAATGGCATCACTGATAATGTTTGAAAACTTGTTTATATATTTTTAAAGAAGCTTTTAAATATGTCTATAGTTTACGCAGTAGTACACATTTAAATAAAACACTTTAACGGTTTAAAACGCGATATATTAGTTAAACTTATTTGAAAATGATTTTTAACTTCGGCCCGACGTTTCGGATGCTTTGCAGCAGCCGGGTCACGGGGAGACCAGAGCAGGTGGTCTCCCCTGACCACGGCTTCCACTTCTTCTTTATATTAGTATATAATATAAATGAAGTGATGTTCCTATGTATCCTGCTATGGGTGAACACATTTCTGTGACTGTTTCATTGATCGATGTTATTTACAGGCTAGTATCTAACGAGACTTCTGGCCTTGCCCAAAGAAAACTGGTATTGTTTTCCCAGGATTGGAACCCAGGACTTTAAGCTTAACGCAATACTAGGCAGAACGTTTACCTATTAGGGATCATTAGCATACTATAATATAATTAAATCACAAGTCATTTATATTGTAATACTATTATATCCTGTCTTTCAGAATAAATAAAGAGTAACTAGTCGGTTTTTTATACTCAAACGTATGTAATATATTGCAGATAATTCGGGCAAACATGGACGGTACTCACTCAAGATCGATTGTTTCTGAGGCCACTTACAAAGCATCTGGAATAGCGGTCGATATTATCGCGCGTCGCGTTTTCTGGTGCGACTCACTCCTGGACTACATAGAAACCGTCGACTATGAAGGCAACAACCGCTTCCTGGTCCTAAGGGGTCAACAAGTTCCCAGTCCGTCCCGACTGGCCCTTTTCGAGGATAAAGTTTTCTGGTCCGATAGTACCAAACAAGGAATCAGCTCTGTAAGCAAATACCTGGGATCTTCCAGCATAGAAAGCATCTATAAAATTAAAGATATAAGGGACCCCAAAGCCTTAACTGTAATACACTCATTGAAACAAACATCTGTGAATAATCCTTGTGGTAACAATAATGGCGGATGCTCCCAAATGTGTATAGTTACCGCGCTTCAAAACGGCGGTTTGGGCTACCGATGTGCTTGTAATATTGGGTACAGCTTACAAACGGATCTAAGAAACTGTGACTTAGTCAAAGAATTCCTGATGTACTCTCAACAGAGATTCATTAAAGGAAAAGTTTTGTATCCAGTTATAGAGGGATTTAACGATGCTATACTCCCAGTGGTATCTCGACGTGCAAGATTTGTAGGTCTAGACTTTGACTCGAGGGACGAATATATCTATTACTCGGACGTCCTCCAAGATGTCATATACAGAGTTCACAGGAACGGCACAACAAAGGAAATCGTATTAGCCTCACAGAATGAAGGAGTCGAAGGTTTAGCTGTCGATTGGGCGTCAAAGAATTTGTACTACATAGATTCTAGGAAAGGCACACTCAATGTCTTATCGACAAGAAATATAGCCTACAAAAGAACACTACTGAAAGACTTGAAAAGACCGCGTGCGATAGTCGTCCACCCCAATAAGGGTTTCATATTCTTCTCGGAGTGGGACCGTCCCGCTAACATAAGCAGAGCGAATACAGATGGTACTGGGTTGTTGGTCTTCGAAAATGTCACCCTCGGCTGGCCAAATGGACTGTCGATAGATTTCGACGCTGATCGTGTTTACTGGTGTGATGCATTGCTCGACCACGTTCAGCACGCTAAGTTAGATGGTACTGATGTGAAGACGGTCAACTCAAGGTTAATCAGACATCCGTTTTCAATTGTTATCCACAAAGAGTTCATGTACATAACTGATTGGCGATTAGATGCGATCGTGCGCTTGCACAAGTTAACGGGCGAACAAGAAGACATAATGGTTCGCGAATTGCAGACGAACAGACTGTACGGTGTTAAGGTGTACAGCCAAGAAGTGCAACGGATAGACCCGAATCAGCCATGTTCGGTTAACAATGGGAACTGCCAGAAATTCTGTTTTGCCATACCTCGTAATAACACGGAATTATTGACGGTGAAGTGCGGTTGTCCATATGGAGAAAAGCTAGCTACGGACGGCACCAGGTGTATAGCAGACCCAACTGCTGAACCGCCACTACAGGCTTGTCCAAACACGTGGGACTTCACTTGCAATAACCAAAGGTGTATACCAAAGAGTTGGGTGTGCGACGGAGATGATGATTGCTTGGATAATAGTGATGAAGAACAAAATTGTACAAGTGAGTACACTGAAACGCTTTTTAATAAATTATTTAACTATAATGTCGTTTAAATAAGTAAGTAATTGTGGAGATTTCGCGACTAAATTGCATAGCTGTTTTTTCGATCCCTATGTTTCCAAATCATTTATTATCTTTCTAAAACATATTGAAATTTATCTGAAAATCTGAATACTAAATAAGTGGTAGAGTGTCGGCATGTTACACGTCTGGGATATATCACCTTCCATCGAGGGAACCCCAAGCTGCCTTCATGTTGTTATTAGATTTTGAGTATGATAAGAATGCTTTAGAGTTAACCTTTCTCTTCCTTATAGAAACAACGTGTAACGCTTCGGAGTTCATGTGCAAATCTGGCCGCTGTATCCCCGCTACGTTCAAGTGTGACTCGGAGAACGACTGCGGAGACTTTTCCGACGAGACCGGCTGCGTCAACGTGACGTGCAGTGCGTCACAATTCCAATGTGACAATGGACGCTGTGTGCCCAACACTTGGAAATGTGACTCCGAGAACGATTGTGGCGATGGGTCGGATGAAGGCTCGCATTGTGCTGAGAAAACTTGTGCTTACTTCCAGGTAAGGGTTCCAGGGTTCTAAGTGTGTATTTATTACTAGTAAAAATGGCAATTTATTGGCTCCTACGTCAAGGAATAACTTAAAATGCGGAACTAAGTTTTTTTTTCTAAATATGTAAATTAATCTAGATATAGACCAAAAACCAAACAATGGTAGCATTAAATATAACACTTTTACGGTTTAAAACGCAAAATGTGATAGTTACTTATTTACACTTAGTATGTAGTACTCGCTTACTACTACAGGTATTACTTAATGGTAGGTTTGTTTTAAAAACAACTTTGAGACTGAAGCAATCTAGACAAATAGAAAAGTATCGTCAATCATTTACGCGAAAAATGTACTGTGACACTGCGACACTACGGCTTCTCCCGATCGTGGTTAAAATAATTAAACTTAAATATTTTGTGTTTTAAACCGATAATAATGTTTATTTAAACAAGTTATATAACTAAAACTGCAAATCGTAAACTTTTTATAAACGTCATCATATTTGGTTGAGAAGATTAAATCTTTTTTTTGACATCTGATATACTTTTAAATAAAACACTTTAACGGTTTAAAACGCGATATATTAGTTAAACTTATTTGAAAATGATTTTTAACTTCGGCCCGAAGTTTCGGATGCTTTGCAGCCCGTGGTCATGGGGTTTTAAGTAAAGTGTTTTATTTAAATGTGTACTACTCGCGTAAACTATAGACAGTATCTGATATGCTCTTACCCAGTTCACTTGTCCACGTACTGGACATTGCATTCCTGCATCGTGGGTGTGCGATGGAGACGATGACTGCTTCGACAAACAGGACGAAGCAGACTGTCCACCTGTCTCTTGTCTGGCTTCTCAATTCAAGTGTGCAGATCTCAAGCAGTGTGTGCAGGTAAATATGTCATGTGTAAATTATACAAATTAAAACTATTTTTCATATACTCATGCACAATAAATAAACATTAACGTTAATGTTTCTAAGCTAGGTTTGGCTATCATATGCAAAATTACAGTTTTAAATCGGTCTAAATATAAATCGGCCCACAGCGTGAGCCAGCATCCGCAGCGTGCTGTTGCTCTAACCAATTGTGCTACCGAGTCTAAACATTTGATTTTTATTGTAGGAAGCTTACAAATGTGATGGGATCCCCGATTGTAATGATGGTTCTGATGAAGCCGGCTGTCCCTCACTTGCACCACACCAGTGTGCACCAGACAAGCAGTTCCAGTGCCACACGTCCGGAATATGTATTCCTCATACCTGGTATTGTGATGGTGAGTTTGCCAATTGAAAATTCATTATTTAATATGTATATACACATTACAGTAAATATACATTTTAACACGAGTTTTAACAAGTTTTTATAATAATATATATCACTAACACTTTTCATGAAACATTTACTATTTTATTACTTGTTTAATACGGTCGTGGGTTTAATGACCACCGAGTCCAATACAGAAAAATATAAATTAGTCTAAAAATCTAAATTTTAAAGGAACATCGAAATTTCGTCCGAATCACGAACCACCAACCACAAATGATAAAGCCGTTAATTTTAATCGCGTTTCGATTTCATTCTATGGATTTCCGAATATCCAAATCCAAAACGGGTCGACAGCCCATCTTGTCAAGATGTTATATGGCTGGGATATTGCTTGTCTTTCCTCTACTAACATTAAAAAAAAACAGGATCAATCATTTTTAACGTAACGTTTAAAATCTTAACAATTTTTATAAATTTTCACCAGAAATATTTGACCACCTTTTACACAAACGAATTTCCTTAGTGGTTGAGATTGTAATTCTAGATTGCTTGTTTTTGTATTTAAAGATATAACCTCTTATATGCATAGATAGTATCTCCATGTATAGTACGGTCAATGAATTTTATACCCAGGTACACCCGACTGCGAAGATTTATCCGATGAGCCAGCAGCTTGTGGAACAGCAACATGTCCAAGTGGCCACTTCCGCTGTGATAACGGACGCTGTGTATTCCGTTCTTATGTGTGTGATGGTCGTGATGATTGTGGCGATGGTTCTGACGAAGGACTTCAACATGCGTGCAAGCCGCCGCCATTCAGGTATGTAAATTTTTTTACAATTTATTCATTTATCGGAATGCTATAACAACCATTTACATCCACTCGATAAACTACAGTATATTAATTACTAAATCTTAATAAGTACTTTTCTGTAATATACTATACCATAGTTATATTGGTATATACATACCTTATGACCATAATCGATAAAAACTTCAAATTCAGTATAAGCAAGTCTATTAAAGTAAGAAGGTATCTGTATGTTTTTTTTTTAAATTCCTTGTAATTATTCTAGGTGTCCATCTAACCAATGGCAGTGTCCTGGAATCACTAACCGGTGCGTAAACATGACACAAGTTTGCGATTCCAATTTGGATTGCCCCAATGGCGCTGATGAAGGTATGTTTGGTTTTAAATATAGAATTTTAAAATATACAACACACATAACAAAGAGATTAATTCCACAAAATTATCATTTTAGGCGAAGGCTGCGATCTAGCTGAATGCCAACACAGCACTGGACTTTGTTCCAATGACTGCAAGCAAACCCCAAGTGGGCCCTTATGTCTCTGTCCCAGCGGGGAGGAGCTAGAAACGGATGGCTTTACGTGTCGGGACATAGACGAGTGTAATCCACCTGGACTTTGCTCCCAAACATGCACCAACACCAAGCGTTCATATTTCTGCAGCTGCGTCGATGGATACCAACTAGCCGCTGACAAACACTCCTGCAAAGCCAACAATCACTCCAGCGCCTTCCTCATCATCTCTAACAGACATTCCATCTTAGTAGCCGACCTCAATGAGCAAGGTCTCGAGCGTGTACCGATCAACGTTGAAAATGTGGTAGCAACTGCTTCTAACATGCACACTGGTACCATCTTCTGGTCAGACATGAAACTGAAGACGATTTCAAGATTGGATAGAGGTAGTGAACCTCAAATTCTTATCTCCACTGGCTTAGATTTGGTGGAAGGCCTGGCGTACGATTGGGTAGCTGGAAATATCTATTGGCTGGACAGTAAATTGAACACAATTGAAGTAGCGAAAGAAGATGGAACAGCTAGAACTGCTTTAGTCAGTGGTAACATTACCCAGCCGCGAGGCATGTGTCTGGATCCAGCGCCCAATGCTAGATGGTTGTTCTGGACAGACTGGGGAGAAAACCCACGTATTGAAAGGGTCGGAATGGATGGTACCCAGCGTATGGCCATAATCACCACTAAAATATACTGGCCCAACGGTCTTACCCTTGACACGGCAACTCAAAGAGTTTACTTCGCAGATTCGAAGTTGGACTTTATTGATTTCTGCTACTACAACGGTTCCGGAAGACAACAGGTGCTTGCGGGAAGTCATTACCTCCTTCATCCTCATTCGTTGACCCTCTTTGAGGATACTCTGTACTGGACAGATCGCCAGTTGAATCGTGTTTTGTCGGCCCATAAGTTCAAGGGAACCAATCAAACGGTGGTATCACATCTAATCTCCCAACCGCTGTCTATACACGTGCACCATCCTTCGCTACAACCGCAGTATCCTTCTCCGTGCAAAACAGACACCTGCCAACATATTTGCCTTTTGAGCCCGAATAAGACAATTGGTTACACTTGCATGTGTAAGCCAGGATTCAAGCTCCTGCCTGATGGAAAATGTATCGAAGGTATGATAACAATACTATAATGTATGTACCTCGTTTGTGGGTAAATCACAAGTGGTAAATTGTTAATAGAAAATAGTTTTTATATATACAAAGTTTTTATTAAGCTTAAGTTATTAATCAAGATAACGCTTTATAACGGATATGTGCAAAAGCTCACTATCGCTTTTTTATGATCTCAAAATTATTTTTAGAGTCACTTCTATACTTTTTCGTGAACCGTGCGTAGAATTAAATTGATGATGTTTTTTCAGAGGAAAGTCCATATCTAATGGTCCTCAAAGGTTCGCAAGTAATCGATCTATCCACCGATGGTTCTGGAAGAGCTGGACAACTTCCACCTGTCGTTGGCATCCAAGGTATTCTATTAAGGCAATCTTATATCAGTCTCAATTAACAAAAAAAAAAATCATTGAATAAAGGGAACAAAAAAAAATTTAGTTATTAGAATATTAAAATAACTAGTTTGATTTGGTTCTGGCTGGTGTTCAAAAAATCGTATATGTTTACAGGAGGGGTACAACTGGATTATGACCGACAAGGGCACATGCTATACTGGCTTCAATCGATATCTGGGGATAGTGAAGATGATGAGAACTGCACTGTTTATAGTATGCCTTACGGTGGTGGAAGTAAGACCGAGTTCCTCGGTCAAGACAGTGGTGTCGTTGGTGCGCCCTCATCTATTGCCTTCGATTGGCTCGGACGAAACTTGTACATGGCCAATAGAGTCGCAAGTAATATAGAACTAGTAAGAGTTGATGGTAAAGTGAAGTACAGAACCATTGTCTTTGCTAATGACGGCAGCAGAAACTCAATTGCAAAACCAAGAGATATTTGCTTGGATCCCACTGAAGGGTGAGTTAAAATTTTATTATACTTGCTATGTAAAGTATAAACTCAAATTCTTTATTACCATATATTATAAACAATGTATGTGCTTGGAATATATTTTCAATATTAATATAAGTCCACTCCCTTATTATTATAATATTTAATTTTGACGGAAGTACAGAGTTATTAAGTTTAGAGACTATTCTAAAAAGAACTATTTGAATTTAAAAAAACTAAATCAAAAACAATTAAAATAATTATATAATACCATCATATTATGCAATAACGTGGGAAAATATTAAAAGTTTTCAAAGAACTATTTATTTAATTTTGGCTTAGCTGCTGTAGTAAAAAATTTGAGATGTAATGACTAATCAGTTTATTTTCATTGCAGAAAAATTTATTGGGCTGATGAAGGCGGTTACGGAGTACCTGCAAAGATTGGAAAAGTGAACATGGACGGTACCAACCCAGTAATCTTGGTTGACTCCATAGAACGACCAGAGGCGGTCACAGTTGACATAGAAAAGAAAATTGTTTACTTCAGTTCTCAATACCCAGCTAGTATCAACAGCGTGAACACCGATGGAAACGACAGAAAGACCATCCTAACTGAAGCCAATGCTATCTCATATCCAAAAGTTATCGCAGTCCTGGATTCAAGGCTATATGTATTAGACCAACGTTATGAAAAGATTTTCAAAGCCGATTTACCCAATGGTGATAATTTAAAAGTTATTTTGGATAATGAGAGTGACCTGAAATCAATGACAATATTCCAAAAGCGAAAAATGATGCATCATCCTTGCTCCCAAAACAATGGTGGATGCGAACAGATCTGCATTCCAAGTGATGGCTCCAAATTCGGAGGAGCGCGGGTTTGCGCTTGCTCCATTGGATACAGAAAGGAGAATGAAGTGAACTGTGTACCATACAAAACATTCGCAGTAGTATCTCAACTAGATATCATTCGTGGATATAGCCTGGATGATAGCGCAGAGGCTATGGTACCAGTTACTGGACTAGGGCATCACATTCTACACGTTGATATCCACTTCTCTGATAACTACATCTATTGGGTTGAGTTCAACAGAGGAACGTGGAATGGAATATTCCGGATACGTCCAAACGGCACAGAACTGCAGCACGTCGTCAAAGATGGTATCGGGAGCAACGGTATCAGAGGATTAGCTGTAGATTGGGTGGCCGGTAATTTGTACTTTACGAATGTCTTCCCTCATGAAAACTATGTCGAAATGTCTTGGCTAGACGGCTCTCATCGGAAAGTAATCGTAAAAACGACTATGGATGCACCACGAGAATTGGCGGTTAATCCGATAAAGAGACTTCTATACTGGATTGATTATGGACAGTACCCACGTATCGGTAAAGCTTATCTCGACGGAAGCAATTGGCAAACACTTGTTACATCAGGAATATCAAATCCGAGAGACCTAACAATTGATATGCTCACACATGATGTTTATTGGGTTGATTCCAAACTAGATCAAATTCAGAAAATATCGTACAGCGGTGGCAATAGACAGCTGATAAGATCCAATTTACCGAACCCGATGGGAATCGCAATTCACACTGGCAACGTATATTGGGTCGACAGAAACTTACAAACAATCTACAAGGCTTCAAAATTACCTGGAAACATGTCTATGCCAGAAAAATTGCGAACGAATCTTCCTAAACTACGGGACATTGTTATTTTTGATATAAATAATCAGCCGACAGATGAGAATAACCCGTGCAGGAAGCTTGGAAATGGGGGCTGTGATCAGCTCTGTTTCAGTTACCCGCCTGACGCCAACAAGGGCTACACACACCGTTGCGACTGTGCAACCGGTCAGATTTCAGCGAACAATCCTAAAAAATGCGACACTGTGGATGAATACTTAGTGTTCACAACGAGGACAGAAATTCGCGCTATAAACTTAGATCCGAAATCTACTGGAATTCCATTTAAGCCGGTCGGTAATCTAACAAACGTTGTCGGAATAGAATTCGATTACAGTGACAACGAATTATTCTTTACACAAATCAGACCATGGGCAAGAATAGCATCTATGTCTGCAAATAATCCTGATCCGTCAACGATAAAGAATATTATTAACAAAAACATTAACCCCGAAGGTATCTCTTACGATTGGACACAGAAGAAGATTTATTGGACTGACAGTTCCAATAATTCTATATACGCCATGAACCTAGATGGTTCGGAACTGGTAATGATCGCGAGAGTAGAGCGACCTAGGGCTATCGTAGTTGACCCATGCAATGGAACACTCTACTACACTGATTGGGGACGCTTCGGTACTTCTGGAAAGATTTATAGAACGACTATGGCTGGTTCACTCAAAAAAGCAATAATAGACAAAGATTTATCCCAACCGAGCGGTCTTACAATTGATTTCGATGAAAATATGCTATATTGGACTGATGCCGTACGAGAAAAGATAGAACGCTCCAAATTGGATGGTTCAGCACGAGAAGTTCTCATATCAGCGACAATCTATCCATTTGCTATAACTGTATTTAGAAACTACATTTACTGGACAGATCTGCAACTACGAGGTGTCTATAGAGCAGAAAAACATACGGGCGCTAATATGGTCGAAATGGTAAAACGTTTAGAGGACTCACCTCGCGATATTCATATATACAGTAAAAGTCGACAAAAATGTCAAAGAAACCCTTGTGAAATTAATAATGGTGGCTGTGCACACAGTTGTCATCCTGCACCAAATAATTCAGTTGAATGCAAATGCGATGAAACCACTAAATTGGTAAATGAGGGTCGTATGTGTGTATCTAAAAATATTACTTGCGAGCCCAGCAAATTCTTCTGTGGTAACGGGAAATGTATTAGTCGAATGTGGTCTTGTGATGGTGATGATGACTGTGGAGATAATTCTGATGAAGACATTAACTACTGCGCATATCACTCTTGCTCGCCAAACGAGTTCCGCTGCAATAATGGACGCTGTATATTTAAGTCTTGGAAATGTGATCATGAAAATGATTGCAAAGACGGTTCAGATGAAGAAGGTTGTGTATACCCGCCTTGTGCACCCGGAGAATTCACCTGTCTGAATTCACGCTGTATTCCCATGACACAAGTCTGCAATGGAATAAACGATTGTAAGGATAATATCACTTCTGATGAAACACATGAAAGATGTCCTAGAAACACCACATGTCCTGCCAATCACTTAAAATGTGAAAAGACAAACATTTGCGTGGAACCCTACTGGCTTTGCGACGGTGATAATGATTGTGGCGATAACTCTGATGAAGATCCTTTACACTGCGCTCAGAGAACGTGTCCACAGAACAGTTTCCGTTGTCCAAACCACCGCTGTATTCCTGCGACATGGTATTGTGATGGAGACGATGACTGTGGCGACGGTGCAGATGAACCACCAGAATATTGTCGATTAGAAGGTAGAACATGCTTTGGAGATTTGTTTACATGTGACAATGGTAATTGCATACCACGAATCTATATTTGTGATGGTGACAATGATTGTCTGGATAACAGTGACGAAGATCAAAGACATCAATGTAATGAAAGGAAGTGTGATCCGGAAACGGAATATACTTGCGAAGAGAACAGATTCTGGAACAGAGCTCAATGTATTCCGAAGAAGTGGCTGTGTGACGGTGATCCAGATTGTATTGACGGCGCAGATGAAAACTCAACCATACATCACTGCTCCACACCTACACCATGTTCGGAAGACCAATTCCAATGCAACAATGGAAGGTGTATTAACGTGGGTTGGGTTTGCGACCACGATAATGACTGCGGTGATGGATCCGACGAAGGCAAACAATGTAACACACAATACAAAATGTGCACAGATCAAGAGTTCCGTTGTCAAAACTTCAAATGTATTAGAAATCACTTTAGATGCGACGGCGAAGATGACTGCGGGGATCATTCTGATGAGGTCGATTGCGTTAAAGAAAATAAAACGTGTCCAAACGGACAGTTCAAATGTAATAACGACCAATGTATTGATAATAGTTTAGTATGCAACAAAGTTTCAGATTGTACCGACGATTCAGATGAGCCTGCGCATTGTAACGTAGACGAATGTGCCAAACTAGAAATAAATCAATGTGGCCATAAATGTATCGACACTATCACTGGATACTATTGTGATTGTAATCAAGGATATAAACTATTAGCTGATGGAAAAGCGTGTGCCGACATCGATGAATGTGTTGAAACGCCCGGAGTTTGCTCACAATATTGTTCAAACACGCCAGGTTCTTATTATTGTAAGTGCAATGACTTATATTACGAAAGGGAAGCCGATGAGCACACCTGCAAGAGAAAAGATAATACTACCGCGTGGGTCATATTCACTAACAAGTACTATGTAAGAAATATATCAACAGATGCCTCATTATATAATCTAGTGCACCAAGACTTGATGAATGTGGTTGCGATTGACTTTGACGTCCAAGAACAAAAGATGTACTTCGCTGATGTCTCGGCTAAGACTATCTATAGGTCAGACTACTCAGATCCCAACCCAACTAAAGAAGTGGTTATCAGACATGATTCACACGGTCTTGAAGGTATAGCTGTGGACTGGATAGGCAGGAAACTATATTGGTTAGATAGACATTCTAAGAATTTGGATGTAGCTGAATTAGATGGAACGAGGAGGAAAACACTGAAAACGGGGATTGCTGATCCAAGAGCTATTGTGGTTCATCCTGGTACAGGTTACCTCTACTTTACATCTTGGCACTTACAAGCTTACATCGGTAAATTAGGTATGGATGGTTCTAACTTCAGCACAGTGTTGAATTGGGAAAATGACATCGCATGGCCAAACGCTTTGACTATTGATTACTTCACAGACAGAATTTACTGGGCGGATGCTCATTTGGATTACATAGGGTCAGCTGACTTAGAAGGAAAGCATAGACACGTAGTTTTATCTGGAAGTAAAGTACCACATGTCTTCGCATTAAGTCTCTTCGATGACGAGATATATTGGACGGACTGGAACTTGAAAGCCATCAGCAAAGCCAATAAACATTCAGGAGAAAATCTAACGCTACTTAGGAACACAACTCATCGTCCATACGATATACACGTAGTCCATCCTTTGAGGCAACTTCCTTATACAAACCCTTGTGGTAATAACAATGGTGGTTGTTCGCACTTATGTTTAATAGCGCCGCCACATGCGTCAAGTTATTTAAATATCGAAGAATATGGCGAAGAAGGTGCCACTACATATAAGTGTGCTTGCCCGAATCAATTCTATTTAGCTCGTGATATGAAAACATGCATATCCAACTGCACAGATGGCCAGCATAGATGCAATGGCCGCGATGAGAAGTGTATTCCTTGGTTCTGGAAGTGTGATGGTGAAAAAGATTGTCAGGATGGTTCCGATGAACCTGACACGTGTCCCGTGCGACACTGTAGAGCGGGCTCATTCCAGTGTAAGAACACAAATTGTACTCCAGCCGCCACAATATGTGATGGAACAAATGACTGTGGAGACGGCAGTGACGAAGCTCAATGTGCCCATGAGTGTCCACAACTTGAATTCAAGTGCAAAACTAGTGGAAGGTGTATTCTGGACAGCTGGAAATGCGATGGAGACACTGACTGTAAGGATAATAGTGATGAAGACCCAGCTATGTGTCACAATAGACCATGTAAACCTGATACCGAGTTCGCGTGCAAGAACGGACGCTGTATTCCAAAATTATGGATGTGCGATTTCGATAATGACTGTGGTGATGACTCCGATGAGCCTGCGTACATGTGTCGGCAAAAGAACTGCACCACAGGTTGGAGAAGATGCCCTGGACAATCTAACTACAGATGTATACCTAAGTGGCTTTTCTGCGATGGTAAAGATGATTGTAGGGATGGATCTGACGAACTACCAGAAAATTGTCCCTCTTGTAACGCTGAGACAGACTTCACGTGCGAAAACAAACGTTGTATTCCAAAGCAATGGTTGTGTGACTTCACCGATGATTGTGGAGATGGCAGCGATGAATCGGAGTCAGTCTGTCAACATAACTACAGAGAGTGTTCAGAATCGGAGTTCAAATGTGGCAACGGCAAGTGTATCTCGTCGAGATGGCGTTGCGATCATGAAGATGATTGTGGAGACAATACCGACGAAATGGAATGCGGCGGCTTCAAGTGCAAAAATGGAACATTCCAATGCAAATCTGGCCACTGTATTGCAGCTTACTTCCGGTGCGATGGTGACAGAGATTGTCGTGACCTTTCTGATGAAATCGGTTGTCCTCCGAGGTTCCCTGGCGGAAGATACTGTCCAGAAAGCAGGTAAGAACTATTCTCTTAAAATATTCGACAATTCTTTAGTTTATGCCTCTATTAACTGATTTCCTTTTTTGTAGGTTCCAATGCGGTAATAACCTCTGCGTCGCGCAGTCTGATCTTTGTGATGGAACGGACGACTGCGGCGATGGATCCGATGAGGCGCCATCTATTTGCACCAACTTCAACTGCGATACACTAAGGCGATTCCATTGTGATAATCACCGCTGCGTTCCCAGGTTTATAGTTTATCATTTTTATTTAATATTACGCGTTCCACATTTTAAGCTTTTATATACGTAGCAATAAAAGCTAAATACTGAGTGCATAATTAATTATAGACATGTCAAATACACACATATAGTGTCTGTAGTTTACGCGAGTACTACACATTTAAATAAAACAGTTTTAATGGTTTTAAACTAGAAATCAATTAGAAAAAAATATTGCATACTTATATGCTAAATAACACTTGTTTACCATGAAATGCGTCAGTTAATTAATTATTACCCGACGTTTCGGGTGCTTTACATCAGTCATGGTAGTTGGGGGACTAAAGATGACGCGTGTTAGTCTTTGAAAACTTTAATATTTTCCACATGATGGCACTGTATATATTAAAAATCGATTTTGGACTGAAATTTGTACAACAGTGGCAGGGCTTGAACTAGCATCCACTGTATTCCATGTTCTTGCTCTAATTATTGTGCTTGATAATCTTAACCTATTCTATTATATATTAAGGTGTGTGTTACATTACGTTACAAATATATTTTTAAAACAGGTATCAAGTCTGCGACGGTGTTGATAACTGCGGCGACGGCTCCGACGAAAACAACATGACTCTTTGCGCGGCCAGGGCCAGACCATGCGATCCAATAACACAGTTCCAGTGTGCCAACAAGAACTGCGTTACACGGGATACACTATGCGACCACACAGACAACTGTGGAGACGCATCAGACGAACGCGGTTGTCACTTTGCCCATGCATGCACGATACAAGACAAAGGTAAACTGTTCTTTACGCGAGTAGTAGACATTAAAAATGAAACACTTTCAACGGTTTAAAACGTGACATGTATTAGTTAAATACTGTCTTAAGTTTACGCGAGTAGTACACATTGAAATAAAACACTTTAACTATACTTTTTGCTATAGCCATTGTAAAATCGTTGGTCCAATAATACAATGTTGCACGATTAACAAATCTTGGGTTCGATATCTAAGACGTTTCAAAATCATTTTATAAGTTCCATCATTTGTTAGACCATGTTAAAAATGGGGACATTAAATCTGCGTTAAACTTTTTAAAATTTCGCCCGGGTTCCGTATCATGCCCACATTTGGGAACATTTGGGAAAGGAAGTCCAAGAAATATTCGGATAATAGATGGTCTGTGAAAAATGTACGTAATATGTAATGTAATACATTAAAATTATATATTTCAGGTGGTTGCGAGCACTTGTGCACAAATCTCACTGGTGGTGGCTATATTTGCACATGCTTCCCCGGTTGGATAATATCTGCAGCAGACAGCAAGCGGTGTGTCGACGTGGACGAGTGTGCTGCTGGTTCACACCACTGTGCGCACCTTTGTAACAACTTAAATGGTAGTTACTCCTGTGCTTGCCGCGATGGATTCAGGTAAATTAAAAAAGGCGTAGTTGTTTTAAAATATTTAACTTATAAACGAGCTATATGTGCTTTAATATATTTTATCTTTTAAATCTTGATATTAGTAGAAATCTTACTGTCGTTGATGTTTTACTCTATAGAATACAACATACATTCCGTGTTGTTGCTTTAACGAATTGAGTTACCGTGTCAATAACATAAGAAAATATTAGTTTTCAAATATTTATTGGAACGAATTATGACATTTTCTACATTTAACATTAAATAACAACAAAGAAGTTTTAACGGTTTAAAAGGCGACTAGTTACATACTATTATAATATATTTCGCGTTTTAAACCTCGTTCATTATTTTATGCAAATGCTTGCTAGCAACATCAACTACAGACAATTCTAAATTTAACATAATTAATCTTAAGCTTACCTGTATAATTCTCTTTACAGATTGGCTGATAATCTCTCTGGAGTTTGCAAAGCAATGGAAGGCGATCTGATATTAATGTTCGCCAACGGCCCCGAAATACGAGCCTTTGTCCAGGACAAGAATGAAGAATTCGACGTCATCACGTCAGAGAAGAGAATAGAAGCAATAGATTACGATCCCAAGCAGGAAATGGTGTTCTGGGTTGACAGCTATGATAAGAGCATCAAACGGTCTTACATGATCAATGCACTAAACGGACAAGTCAAAAGTGGTTTCGCACAGGACCTGAAGAGTAAAGCAAACGCGAAACCCACTGGCATCGCCGTGGACTACGTTGGAGGAAACCTCTACTGGACTGAAGCTGATAGAACCGGTTCGAAACCGAAGGGACGCGTCATGGTTGCCCGTAACGATGGTCGGTATAGGCGTGCCCTCGTGTCCGCTGGGATTGAAGTCCCAACATCTCTAGTTCTAGATCCACAAATGGGCAAAATGTACTGGGCAGACGCTGGTTCAGCACCAAAAATAGAAACGGCCTGGATGGATGGGTCGAAGCGTCGGCCTATAGTTACTGAGAACGTCAGACATCCAACTGGGCTAGCTATCGATTATGCTATGGATCACACTATATACTGGGCAGACACTAAGTTGAACACAATAGAAATGATGAGGCCTGATGGTACCAACAGGAAGGTCGTGCTGAAGGGAGAGTTCCTCAAACATCCGCTGTCTCTCGATGTCTTTGAGTCGTCGTTGTATTGGGTAACAAGAGACACTGGTGAGCTGGTGCGGCAAGACAAGTTTGGAAGAGGAGTGCCATTTGTTATATCTAAGGATCTAGTCAACCCGGCAGCAGTAAAAGGTTTGTTATATATTTTATTACTAGCTGAGTCACCCGACTTTGTACGCGTAGTATAATTATTTTGGATTAAATTTTTTTGTTTTCACAAACCCCCTCTTCAACTCTCGCACCGTTCGTTCGTGTCACGTCGTTCTTGCAAGTTAATCTTTAGATATAGTCATATAATGTCCGGGACTTTTTTTTTGATCATTTAAGGAGGACTAATTCTTTCATAGATATTTTTTCGGCTATCTTAAACCGTTTTCGCATCGTACGCAATGGAAAGCCACAATTATTTTTCTCCGTTATTTCGACATTTCCAGCTGTGTTTTCGCTTCTATTAGTCACAGCGCTATATAAACTATAGCCTCAATAAATGTTCTAACTAACACAACAATTAATTGTTAACTGTTGTTGTTGGTAACTTAATTATTGAATTCGGACCAGTAGTTCCTGAGATTAGCGCGTTCAAACAAACAAACTCTTCTTTGTATATTAGTATAGTAGTATAGATATTTTAATATCTTTACACTATATACAGTTATATTTTTAATATTACAATCAATAAAAATAACTTGTTAAATATAAACAATTGTATGACCTCTGGACAGCAATGTAGGACTAGTAATCAAACATGCTGGACTTCATAAATTGTGTAAGTACCATCAAGGGAACCCCATGCATATGTATCATAAAAAATGTTAATCAGATATTTTAGAGGAATATTACTTTAATACCACTAATACATTTGCAGTATACCATCCGGCACGATACAACACGTCATTGGCCGAGAGAGCTGCTTGTAGTAAGACGCCATGCTCACACTTGTGCCTAGCTGTGCCCGCTGGACACCGCTGCGCATGTCCCGACCAGCAATACGCACCCAAGAGAGCCACGCACGAAGTACCCTGTGACGCAGGTAAATTTTATTATTTATAAAAACTTATGCTACATTGAAAATAGATTCCGTGCTGTTGCTCTAACTAAAAAACTAAAGAATCACAATCAAATTTACATAAAATTATACAAATCAAAGGGATGTTTTTCTCAATTCAGCGAAGCTGTGCGTGAAAATATCTAATCCGCTCCTGCAGCTCGTATAGCACTTACCTTATGTGGCATCCAAAAATAAAAATAAAAACAGTTAGTAGTTTAAACCGCGATGTATATCTATTTTATTATAATATTAAATCTATATATTAAAAATGACAATTATAACAACAATAATAATATAAAAATTACGACTCTTAGACCGACATTTACAGTGTTCCATGTTGTTGACTGAACCGTATCGTAACCCCTTCGAACGATTTTGAGTTTATTTAATGCCATTGTAGGCATGTAAAAATGTAGTTTTCAAATGATAATATATACCTATATATTTTTTTTTTCATAGTCTTTGTCCCTTGTATCTTTACTAAATCTTCCGTAAGAATTTTTACAACTTAGTAACATATCAAATTGTACATTAATTATTGGTCATTTTTATTAACTATTTATGTAGTTTTAATTTTATAGGGCTTGATACTTGTGTATTGCGTAGACTTATATTATTTTTTTTAAAGCGGTGGAACCACCTCGGGCGTTACCACTTGCCTGTCCATGCCAAAACGGAGGAACTTGCAGCGAGAAATCAGATGGTGAAATCGTTTGTGCCTGCCGGCCTGGACTGCAGCCTCCATACTGCGCTCAGGCTGAAGCCAGTGCAGATGCTCGTGCTGCACCAGCACTGATTGTGCCACTTCTACTCGTCGTGCTGTTGGCGATAGCTGGAGCAGCTGCCTGGTTCGTTATCAGGAAGAGACCATTGTAAGTGAACGATAATCTCCTACCAGAATCCAACCAACGCATACTGTACTATACAAAACGGTTTAAAACGCGAAATATGTTAATTTACAATTTAGCATATTGAGCTTTTCAATTTTTCCTAATTGAAAAGTTCAATACCCTTTCTATCTTCTATCCCCCCGTGATTACAAACATTGAAAGCCGCGTATTATAAATTATAAACAAATTGTTATATTTGTGTTGAAAGTAAAGTATTTTATTAATATTTTCATGTATTTTGTACTTAAAATATCTAAGAATATCTTTTATGAATGATCATAAAAAATAAATATAACTGTTTTGTTTTCACTTCTAGTGGCAAAGTGAGCGGCCTTAGCAGTTTAGCGTCTTCACAAAGCGTATCTTTCCGGCCGGGTTCAAATGTGGAGCTAGGAGGAGTCGCCACTCCAGGTCCTGCAGTACCCCCAGCGCCTGGCACCCAGGATGCATACTCTTTGGAGCCACGCAAAGGACGAGACTTCACCAATCCCATGTACGACGCTGTTACAAGATCGGCGTTGCCTGAACCAGAACCATTACGTATGTATTTTATATATTAATCTAATTCACTCATTCAAAAAATATTGTACTTTAGTTTACGCACATGTAAATAAAACAATTTTAACGGTTGAAAATGAAAAATATATAAGTGTACTTATTTTTATTTTTTTTAAATACAAGTCAATGTTTTAACTATGTCAGACTGTAGCTAAAATAGATTAGAACTAAGTTAATTATATTTTTCCTTTTATCCACCAAATTTAACGGTTTGACCGTTAAATTTGGTGGATAAAAGTAGCCTTCGTTAGTACTCTGTTGTAGCCTTATTAGTATTATTTGTCTGTAGTAGTACTATGATTTAAAATTAATAAATTTCTTTCAACTTGCGACTATAAACAGATTTTTTGTATTTACAGCCGGAATATATGAGGTGCCGGATGAGGTTAAAGAAAAAGTAGTATCAGCAGTAATATCTCCATCGTCGACTGAAACTCGCGGGGCCCCAGGTAAAAGGCCTCGGGCTTTGGACCCCGCTGCGGATACCGGCGTCGACACGCAGCAGCTGGTGCGAGAGGACCGCGATTGCTAGCGGCAGCTGGCGCCCGCGCGTGTTGCGCCCTCCCGGGGTCCGCCTCGCGCGGGAGCCGGCTCGCGGGGCCCTCACTCTGCGCGCGCGCTTCTAATTAAAATAAGGACGTCCTGGAGACCCCGGCGACGCGCACACGCCGTGCTCTCCTAACTTAACGCTAGAATTTACGCGGTAAAAGCAATGTCGCTACTGCTTAAATGCTACTGTGCTACAATGTAATCATGAGACTTAACTCACCAGTTCCGATATGAATTTATTAGACTTTAAGTTTACGACCGCTGCATATCAGACAAATACGAAGCCCGCACTTATAACAAGAAAGTTTTGGAACTTGTGACGTTAACCAACTCAATTACATTATGACGATAATTTAATATTGGTAAGGTCCGTCAACTATACAGAGTATAAACTAACTATAGCTTTGTTGCAACTTTCTATATATTTTATAAACTGTTTTATCCTTTCTTCTCTCTATATTATCTGTTCTATAAGGCCGTACTTACGTGTCATTATTTCTCAAATCATATCATCAAGTGATAACTAGCTAGTTGTACTGTTATAGGCTAAACATTTAACATTCCAAACTGACTTTAGACTTAACTACATTCCTAACATTTATTGTATAGATTTCAAATTAGATAGGAATAGCTTTTATCAGACACCAGTCGGTATTCTTCTGGACACCAGGCCACATTTGGCTCATTTCGGTTGACAATAAGACGTAACTATTTAGGAGTATAATTTATTTATTTCGTTGTAGAACTATGTAAAATATAGCTATGTTGTGTTTTATAATTATTGTCTATGGAATGTAAAGATTTTGTGGGATCGTCGACGGTTGCCATAAGTGTGAGATAATATTTCTGTTGTTATTATTTTTAAAAGTTAATGTCAATTTTTTATGGAAAAAGGTAATAATATAAATTGTAAATATGCATACAGCGTTGTGATGTAAATTATAATGAAGGAAATTTTATCTGTACTGTTTATTTTGTATAAATAAGTACTATTACAATAAGTGTAATTGTTGTAAGGATTTATAATAGTGAATATTAATTAAATCATCACAATACATTATTTGAAAGCGACCACAGAAGACAATTATATTATTAAAAGTTAAACTGTATAAATGAATCTGTCAATGTAATTTTTAAGGAGATGAAATATTTTTGTATTGGGATTATTATATGTAGAATTTAAATATCTACTTAGTTGTCAGTGACTTTAGTCGAGTTGTATAAAATTTAATTAAAAATCATGAAATATATTACAATTTATTTTATTTGTTATTATTTACTAAATAAAGAATTACTTACCCTATGTTTAAGTCTGCTATTCAGCAAAGGCTAAAAAATCGCGCCGAAATTTAAAAAAAATATCGTTATTTATACTTAATACCTACGTAACCCAGGTTAACCATTTTAACGTAATTTTAACCAACCAAATTAACGTAGAGATTTTCTATTTCCTTAGTCCTATGGCGAATAAAATAATATTTATTATAATTACATAATGAGCTACTGTGTCCTTAGGTACTAGGACACGATACCTCCATTGCTTAGAACAGCAGCACGGAACGTTGTAAATGCCAAAATATGTCCTGCCCGTCTTGTAAAATGTTTTCAATTAAATAGATTTTTAAATTATACATAGATAGACAGTCATAGATTTTCATTTTTAAAAGAAACAAACATTTTACTTAAGCAAAATAACATAATCGATATAATTTATTTCAAAACTCGATTTCCTAACAGAGTGCCTTGCCAGTTGTAATATATTGTATTGTCAACGGGACGACACACGACACACGACAGCTGTCAAAATGTCAGACTACTTAAATTTTCTTTGGCGTTTCGATTTAAATTTAAACAATTATCTGATAATACCCTATTAAATCTTAATGTATATGATTATATAACGCCGCGTTATCTACATAGCCATGTATTTAAACATATAAAACTAATTAGTCCCGCCGACTGTTGATTACACACAGTACGCACTACTGCAGTCTGCACTTCCAACAATAACAGAAGTAAATCAGCTGGATATTCATATCTATTTGTTCCGGGATTACATAAAACTATCAGGTAACCTTTTGCGAAAGGTCAAAGCCTTATCTTTACGTAAATAACTTATTAGACAGTTATCAGTTGCGTAAATAAGACGTGCTTTAGTTTTTTGGACGAAATTACGAATCTACACCGTCCAATTTTCGATAAGCACAAGTGCTATAGTAACGTATTTTGTGTGAACGAGTGCTTTTAATATTAAAATATTATATTGTGCGTTAAATTATAGTTAAAAAATCTAGTTATTTTTGCGATCTATTTAGGGTGCTGCTTATAATTTTGTGATAAGTGACGTGTTGTGAGAAGTGTCATTGGTTACAGTATGTCATCGTTGAAGATGATAGGCGGTGTTGTCGCCAGTCGCAGACTATCCGGCAAAGCATTACGGTCGCAGTCGGCTGAATTGTCCGTTTTACTCGCACAAAACAAATTTACGAATTTGCGAACCATGGCTTCCAAAGCGGTTACAATGGAAAATATCAACCCCAATATTGTAAAGTTGGAATACGCTGTGCGTGGACCGCTCGTGACCCGCGCGGGGGAAATCGAAAAGGAGTTGCTAAAGGTGACAATTAACTTTACTACATAGTTTTTATGTCGGTAATACTATATTCCCAAGACTACAATCAAATAATTAAAATTTAATAATCCAAATATTAGTTACTAAGTATTCCTGGTTTGTAACCTTGAACTTCTGAACTGAGAATTTTGAACGTAATTACATTACAATACACAAAAGTGCTCAAAATATTAAAAAAATATTCTTTTACAAATTAAAAGAGCTTAGAAAGGGCTCACTTAAAATTTTCATACATTATTTCTTGATATATATATTGTAGTCCAACACTACTTCTTTCTTATTGATTACAGTACTTATATATTATATATACTAAAACAGTACCTACTAATTACCTAATTTTTAATAATATGTTAGGCAAATAATATAAATTCTATTTTCTTCTTTATCTGTTGTGTTTGAGGGAATAATTATAATGAGGCAACTCTTAATTTTAATATTATCTAAGTATAATATATACTAGTAAAACACTTTAAATCAATCAATTTTTGGATTTAAATACGAAATATTTTAACAAATTTTTAAACTTTATATTTTTTATAATATAAAAAATTCTATTCTCGCCTAGAGAAATAGCATCTGCAGTGTGATGCACTGCTATTAATAAACAAATTATTATAACCACATGTTGGCGAACACTGCATACTTTACATACATTTGACAGGTGCAGAAAATATCTTTTAACACATATTTCATAAATGTTCGTTAAGTGGTATGCAATAAATTATTTATTATATTATTATTTTCTATCGGGGAACTTGGCAGGACAGGTGATCAGTCACGTTGTCCGCTGACCATTTCACCCATTTCCTCCTTCAGAGACTTGGGTCATCCAACTCTTCCCGTGTCCCCCTCCTCCAAACCTTCCGGTTTGCTTGCAGAATCTTATTATGTTTTCCATCTGTAGTTTTTTAATGTCATCTACTGTAACTTTGTCAGAGCCCATATGCATTTGTCTTAGCCTCGTAGGTTTGCATACCAGACCTATTCAGTGGTAGATGGATGCTTGTTTCCTCACTTTCTCTGCACTCCGGGCATAGGGAATCGCTACCTATACTTATTATATTATGCAATAAAAAGTTGTAACCTATTCATGTACCATTAATGGTCTTATCTATAATAGTACAAGAGCTTAAGATCCAACCACAGTCCGTAGGTACTGGGCATACACAGACCTATTCTGCTGCAGAGCATCCAAAACTGTGGCCGTTGTTGTTAGAATCATTCTTACAACAATGGCTACAAAGTTAATGGTAATAATGGGACAAAGCTTAATATAAATACTATTATCTAAAGTCAACATGGTCACAGCTGCTGCAAAGTATCCGAAACTTCAGGCCATTGTTAAAATTAATTTTTAAACAAGTTTAGTTTATATAGTGTTTTAAATGTGGATTTCTAGTGATGTCTAGCGTACAATGCGACAGTCTTATTTATATATTTTAGGAACTGTTTTAATAATATGTTATCTTTATCAATATTAATTTTATTAGGAAGTAAACAATTAACCTGTAAAGCGATTAATTAAAACATTGTCAGTTAACTTTCAGCAAGGTCAACTTAATGGAAAACTATGAAAATTAAATTCATTACTATGAGTCACACATCTAACGTTACTATTCATATTTTAGGTGAATAGTTCTATCAAAGCAGAATATCGATATTCCCAACTATACATACAATGCCTAGAAAGTACACTAGCCATTGGTTATTAGCCAAACGTTAATAGCGGTGAACTAACACAGGCTGTCCCCGGGACCAGCGGCAGCCCCATAGCAACCGAAAAGACAAGGCAAATTCTAAATAACATTTACCTACATTTAAAATTTAATCTAATTTTTTTGACATTGGCAAAGTTTCAATTCTATACCAGCTATTTCTTAACGATTAGACCTAACAAATGTAGGTTTTATAGATTTCAGTATATAATATATCTCTTATGATAAATGTTCTTGTGGTAACTGTATTTATAAAACATACGCAAGTATTATGATATTTACTACCGCTATTAGAATAGTGTGGTAGGATATCCAATTACTTACTATCAATTGAATGATTGTTGTGTGTTGGAATGTGTTTTATTGAAAATAGTTTTGTTTATCATACAAACTAGTAATTTACAATTGTGCTTTACCAAATCTTTAACATCAAAATATATATCTGTGTATGATAAATTTGATATTACTATTTGATCCTCAATAATATCATGAAAGTTGAAGTATAATCTAATATATAAAGCTGAAGAGTTTGTTTGTTTGAACGTGCTAATCTTAGGAACTACTGGTTTGAATTGAAGAATTCTTGTGTTAGTATGAGCAGTTATCGAGGAAGGCTATAAGCATAGCGCTGTGACTAATAGGAGTAGGAAACAGCGGGAAACGTTTATAATACGGGGAAATTTATTCATTCTTATGGGCTTCCATTGCGTACGCTGCAAAAACGGTTCAAGATAACCAAAAATAAATTCAAATAATGATTTCTCTTTAAATAATTAAAAAAAGTCCGCGACAGTATGTTCATCTTTTAAAATTAACGCGCGAGAACTACGGGAAGGGGCGCGATCGACGTCGTGGGTAACAGTTTAAGTATATAAGATGAAGGGGTTTGCAACAACGAATTGGAATGCCCAAAATAACGATTCTCGCGGACGAAGTCGCTGACAGAGCTAGTAAAAAATATGTTTGTAATATGTATCTTAAATACTGTCTATAGTTTACGCGAGTAGTACACATTTAAATAAAACACTTTAACGGTTTAAAACGCGATACATTAGTTAAACTGATTTGAAAATTATTTTTAACAATCATTAAACGTTATAAATAATTTTCAAATCAGTTTAACTAATATATCGCGTTTTAAAACGTTAAAGTGTTTTATTTAAATATGTATCTTGACAAACACAAACATGTGCTCGTCAAGATAAATGTCACATTTTTATTTGTCCTATATAAAATAGTTTCTATATAAAAAAATATTAAGTAAATTACATCCCTATCAATATGATGTAATCAAACATTGCTTGTAAATAATTAACATGTGATGATAGAATTACACTGTTCTCTTACATAATTCAGGGTTATTACCTCAGTTCTTTAATGTTATCGGCTATTAGTTATGTCATTGTAATCTGATAATCTAGTTGTTAATTATTGAAGTACACCTTTAGCAGCATTGGGCTATTTTTACATACAATTTAAATACTGTCTGTAGGTTACGTGAGTAGTACATATTTTAATGGTTTCGATGCGGGAAAACGTCGGGCAATAGTAAAAATAATATTCAAATAAGTTTAACTAATATATATCGCGTTTTAAACCGTTAAAGTAGATTTAAATAAACATTTTTACTTTATTAATTTGTTTTAATATAAAATTGCATGCACATTATGAAGCCTTTGACATTAAAGAAAAAAAAAACATTTTTTTTAAATATAAAATAGTTTTAGAGTTCTTAAGAATTTTTTATAGTTTTTTAAAGTTGTATTTGTTTTAGCAAAACCATCTTTTTTATGCTTTATTTTTTTTCAGGGGGCAAGTAAACCCTTCAAGCGGGTGATCAAAGCCAACATAGGTGATGCACACGCCATGGGTCAAGTGCCGATTACATTTATCAGACAGGTAATACCTTTGATAAGAGATAAATGAGTAATATATTGTAATATATACATTAAGATAAGGAAGGTACCAAGTCTAAAGTATACAAATTGCAAAATTTGGACTTAGTACTTTTGTGTAGTTTTTTTTATAATTAGCATTTTAAACTCAGATTTCAAAGGCAATTCAATGGCATAGGCAGGCGGAATCCATAGCCAACAGTGTACCATAAAATGAGCATGGTAGCTCAATTGATTAGCAAGAGCACGCTCAGTGTTCATTCAAGTGTCGTCATTTAAAAAAATCTAAATATACTTTTAATTATATAATAAAATATATAATTCCATCATGATCAAACACACGCGAAAAATATTAAAGTGCTTTATTAAAATAGTAAACGTGCTGGTGCTCTATGGACTAAGACACTTGGTTCGAATCCCGCCTGTGTCATAGCTAACAATCTTTCAGTCTAATATCATTTATGCAAGTAGTTAACTAGGTGAACGTATCACGTCAAACCAGTTAAAAACTAGAGATTTTAAATTTACTTTTATTCACTGTTGATTTCTTAAATACCTTTCCACATCGCACAACCTATAAAAATTTAAAATTGAAATAATTTACGACTCGGGAAGGACTTGAGCCGGTATCCTGAGCGTTCCGTGCTGTTGCTCTAACCAATTGAGCTACCGAGTCCTGCACGTCATCGTCGAATTTTTTCAACCTATTGTTACATGCACCTCTCGCGCAATGTAATTTCAACCTTAACACTTTCGTATTAACCTCTCTCTTAATCTCTTATGTATCTAATCCATGTACAAATACTAGGTGCTTTTCACAGGTGTTATCATGCGTAACCTATCCTGAGAACATAGATAAGAGTGATTTCCCCGAAGATGTGAAACAGAGAGCCAGGGATATTCTAAATGCTTGCGGGTAAGGTATACTCTTAATCTATAATAGTAATAGCTGTGCCCGCGACTCTGCGTGATCGTTGGCGTAGAATTTTTAATTATTTTGGCTGTTTATTAATTAATATAAGGCCGCATTTAAGGCAGCCAATCTATGTTGTAAGTCCTACTTTGCCGCAACACTCTCACCTCAATCACTCTTACTCTAACTCCCACTCTCATTCCTCACCCTACTCACTCCTTATCCCAAAAAGGGAAAGAAGAAAGTCTCTGTGTTTTAGCTCTCTAAAGCCACGAATTTCCATACAGACTATCCCCTTTTTTTATCGAATGACAATCAGGAGCTTTGACCTACGGTCTGGGAGACACTGCCATCGACCGTGCCGAAGCACTACTGGGTCTGAAGACCCGACGAAAGGGTTGCTAAGGGCGTTTAGGTGCTGAATGTTCGATGAAACGCACCCTTTCGTGGCCGTTTAGGGTACGCCCGTGGAAACTCACCGTTTGGTCCGAGCAGGCAGTCTAACTGCCGATAGTGGTGATCATCGGAGTGACATTTCCCCTAGCCGCTACCTGGGGACGCGCCCCACAGGGTGCCGGGAAACTTGCATCCCCTTTTTCAACCCTTCTTTAGCATTGAAAAGTAGTCCTTTCTACAGGCTCTAAAGTATCTGTGTACCAAATTTCATTTAATTCAGTTTTGTAGTTTCGGAGTTAAAACAGACAGTCAGTTATTTTCGCATTTATAATATTAGTATAGATTATAAAGCTGAGGAGTTAGTTTGTTTGAACCCGATAATCTCGGGAACTACTGGTTTGAATTATTTTTGTTGGATAGAACATTTATCGAGAAAGGCTCTTGTGTATATAACATCACAATACGACTAATAGAAGCGAAAAAACAGTGATAAATGTTAAACAAGGACTATGAAGGTAAAGAAGACAGGAAAAGTTGATTGTTGTGCACAGTTTGAGTAGGACAATTTTAACTGTTTCAAGTTAACATTTCGCGTTTTAACCCGTTAAGTGTTTTATTTAAATGTTACATGATGTGACGTATGATATTTATTCGTAACAAGATAAATTGTTAATTTTGAACGAGTAACGCTATTTCGTACCATTATATACCTATTTTCTTTAATGACGGATTATGTTCTCATGATAAGATTGAAGTGTGTTTGTCGCATACAATCAATATGCCCTCTATTCTTGTGACGTCATCGTTGTGTGCTAAATGAAAAGTATTGATCGCCGCTGTTTACTGCATTTTGTATTTATGGAGGTTAAGGGCTGTCTGCTCAATGGTTAGACGCATTCTGATGGATCTGGGTTCGAATCCTTAACTATTACAAATTACACCAGCCCACAGAATCCTGGTGGGCAACGTGTCTACAATAGAAATGTCGACTTAAAAATAATTTGTCAATACGTTTAACTTAACTAAAATAATAACCAATAAGTTTCGTGTTTATTACTGTTAAAAGCATTTTTTATGTGTATTACACTCATTGGTTAATCTCGCAATAGTAAGGCGTAAGGCAGGCCACAAGTCAAGTAGATACGTTTAATCGCGTAGTTTGAATTTACCGAATATTCATAGGTCGACAGCGTGTGTTGTTTCGATGTTATAATATGTCTGGGATGCCTTCCATCATGTGAACTGAACACCACGCTGGCCTGTCCTTTATCATAAAAAAATAAACAGTAATGTATACGTCATGCCGGATTTTTAAAATTATTATAGGACAACAGCACATTTTAACTCGGCGCAATAGGGCCAGAGCGCTTTCACCTATCATCGAGGATTTTAATTTTTCGCTGTTGCTAAGAACAGAAGTTTATTTGTAACCAAGAATAATACTAATAATAATGTCTCTACGTGACCACGGCTGCTGCAAAGCATCCGAAACGTCGGGCCGAAGTTAAAAATCATTTTCAAATAAGTTTAACCAATATATCGCGTTTTAAACCGTTAAAGTGTTTTATTTAAATGTGTACTACTCGCGTAAACTATAGACAGTATTTAAGAATAATACTGACTGTTGTGCAAATGGCGTTTGTCTAGCCAAGGTCAACGCAGACAGACATGTATTTAGTCATATTACAGATATTTTTGAAATAGTTATAAATACTTTTGCCAATGAAAAGCCAATGATAAATATATACTAATTTGTAAAGCTGAAGAGTTTGTTCGTTTGAAGGCGCTAATCTCAGAAACTACTGGAGCAAATTGAAAAATAATTTTTGTGTTAGAACATTTATCGAGGAAGGCTTAGGCTAAAAATCGCGCTGTGACCAATAAGAGCGATGCTACGAAAACGATTCAAGTTACCAAAAATTGTGTATCAAAGAATAATTCCTTTTTAAGTGTTCTAAAGAAATGTCCGCTACACTATATGTCTGCGGGATCCGAACGACGGGTCGCGGCGAGGACGCGTCCGATGTCGATGTCGGGTAGCATTTTAAATTTATAAAGATGGAGAGGTGGTTTGCAAAAACGTTTTTGGATGCCCAAAATCATGATTCTCGCGGACGAATTCTCTAAAAACGTTAATATAAGATATTAATTTATTAATGCGTTTACTTAGTACTAACTGAACGTAACAAATCAACTTCCACGAAAAAAGCCGTGAAATTAATTTTGCGTTTCGGTTTCAGTCTGGATCTACGATTATCCAAAGCGAAAATAGGTCGACAACCAGGCATTTTTAGACATTTTAATAAACACACTTTAACGGTTTAAAACCTGTTAAACTCCCGTGACCACGGCTGCTGAAAAGCATACGAAACGTCTGTCCGTAGTAAAGGTAATTTTTAAATAAGTTTAACTAATATGTATCGTGTTTTTAACCGTTAAAGTGATTTGTAAAAAAAAAACTAAATTATGGTTATATACCGTGCTCTGAAAATTTTATCTTCATATGCGCCTTACTATGTAATTTTATAGAACCTGCCGTGAAGGTTACTTGATATGAACAACATTGCATAACAGTTAGTACTTGGTGCTAATATATGTAATATTCTCGGTAAATAATATTTTTGGATCATTCACTGATTTAGTCAATCATTGTCGGGAAGTTCTTGTGGACCTTAATTATTTCACTAGTTTCTGGATCTTAAACTATATTTTTGAATAAAACACTTAACGGTTTAAACGCAAACTGTAATAGTTACCTTATTTATTTCCCCGACATTTTAGTACCTCCGTGACCACGGCTGCCGCAAATTATCCGAAACGTCCGGCCATAGTTTATTCAGTTTATTCAAACTGTTAAGTGTTTATTGTAAATGTGTACTACTCACGTAACAATACTTTAAATTTACTGTATCAAATAGTGCATTGTTTGTAAGAGAAAGTGCTTCAGTGGAAAGATACCTGAAAATATTTATCAAAATAATCTAAAAAAAATCCTGGGACAGTATGTTTTAAGGTTAACTCTAGAACCGTTTTATAGTAATCAAAATGTGTCGACATACTTCATATGACAACTACTTATCAGTTTAAAGTTACCACACTACAGTTATCAGTTAAACACAATACTATAATTTATAAGTCTTACGAATTTTCGACCAGGTCACGTTTCCTGGCGAGAGTTCTTGACATTACAAAAGAGCATAAAGTTAATACATAAAATATATAAAAAAAGAACTAAGTGTTCCAGAGCGGAAGGTGCCAGTTTTTATAGAAGCTGTATCTTCTAATTATAATAATACAACATTGTAGTGTATACGATAATAATATATATACGATATTTTTTCCAGAGGCAAATCGGTCGGATCGTACACGATGTCGCACGGTATCGAAATGATCCGACGTCACGTGGCCGAGTACATCGAAAGACGAGACGGGCACAAGTCTGACTGGAACAACGTGGTGTTGGTCGGTGGGGCTTCGAACGGCATCAAGAACTGCTTGCAGCTCTTCATTAATGATCTCGATGGGAAACCATCAGGTGTGTAAATTAAAAGATTGTATCTTTAACGATTTGAATAAAACACTTTAACGGTTTAAAACGCGATATATTAGTTAAACTTATTTAAAATGATTTATTGGACGTTTCGGATGCTTTGCAACAGTCCTCCTCTTGACCTTTCTTGAGTCTTTCCTCATGACCATGGTTTTTACAAATAGCCGTTTAAAACGCTTTAACTAGCTTAAGACTTAAGAATAATTTTTTTTTACTCGTTTTATAAGACTTTAGTTAAAATAAATTAGATTAAAAAGCTGATAAAATCAAAACCTAATTAAAAATTAATGGGTCTAATATCCGCGTTTCAACTTTTAAAACTGTTTTAAATTATAACTATCTCACTGGATACGGTACTGAATAGTTTGAATCGGTTTTATTTTATTAGATATGTGGGAAAGCAATAAACTTACTAATCAGATAAGTAGTTCATATATATTTACTATTTACAACCTATTTAGTATTATTCTACAAGATAAGATAAACTCAATTGTATGACGTTGATAGTTATATAGAAGTCGATACATATTACAATTTTGTACGTTCACTCGAACCGCTACTGGCGCCATCTGCCAATCTCGAGCCACAAAATTTTCGGTGCCTCGTAACTTCTGCTGAAGGAAGCCGCGAAACGTGCTTAACGACACACGTCACGACGCGATCCACACAAGGCGAGGTATTTGCGTATCACGCCACCTCCATGAACATTCGTCCATCGCCTCAAAGTTGTAACCCCATTGCCGTGGTCCAAGTCGGGGCCGATCTCGCCTCGAGGTACCCCCAACGCCGAGTTAGTATTATTTGCCTCCGGTATAAATACACCTTAATAATAAACACTTATGAGAAAGTATTTTGTACTAAAACACAGCTGTATAGCTTAGTATTGTGTTCTAGCATGACAGCGCCTTGGATCGAATTCGGCCAGGCAGGGCACAGAACTCTGAACATCTACGTACCTCACAATCAGTGAAATGGGTAAACGGAAACAGTATTTAATAAATTAAACATTTACACCGGTTCAGAATACGAAATATATTAGTTAATTGTGAAGTAGTCGTTCCTGAGATTAATGCGTTCAAACAAAATTTATATATAATTTTGGTATAGCTAAAATTTACTCTCCCTAAACTTAAATGTAGAATTATTATAAAATATTGTGTAATACGCCGTCTTGAAAATAAATAAAGTATTTCAACATGGCGATTAAAAAACTTGTTATGATAATATGTTTTCGTTTTTATTTCGTAAATCGACTTTCGAAAGAAGTACTTATCATCAAACAGAAGTATAGCTTATCTTTACTACTGCAAATTACATGCTACAAATTAAACAAAACTCTTACAAACACGAAATATTAATTATTTTTTTTTACTGCGACCCGACGTTTTGGATGCACGAGCTATGCCTCCTAGTGACCAAAGCCGCTTAAAAATACGTTAACTTCTATATTTCGTATCTTTAAGCCGTTAAAAGTGTTTTATAAAAATGTGCTACTCACTTAAACAACAGAGAATATTTAATAATACACTGGAACTATCTAAAAACAGCAGTAATTAATAAACAACCAAAAACATAATTGTAAAAAAGGAAAGTCAAGTTCAATACAAAAATTATACTTGGCTATGAGCTTCGCCGTAAAAGAGATCTAAATATTATGTGCCAAGTTCTATACAAGTATGTACTTATAAGAGCAAAATATTTGGTTTTGTACAACAAATGCTATTATTTATAAAATGTGAGATTTTAAAGTTTCTGACTTGGCCAGTTCTTATCAGAATTAAATATTTACGCTGAAAAACTTAATAAAATTTGAGAACGGCCTCAAATTATCAAACACCTGGGATCCCATAATAAAAACTCTGGATTCCAATAAACAGCATACCGGCAAACGCGAAGACACCGTGAGTCAATTTTGCCAGCTTCGCCAAATACCAACTTCGACGAAATACCTAGATGGCGCTAGCGTAGCAGTTTTTTTACTTTGACGTCTGAGACATCCTCCATCTTTAGTCTGCACGTGACCACGGCTTCCGAAACGTCGGGCCGTAGTTAACATTAAATCTCAAACAAGTTTAACTAGAATATATCGCGTTTTAAACCGTTAAAATGATTGATGTAAGAAAAATGATGTTTTTAATTCCCTTTTTTTATCACTCTAGGTGTCATGATCCCGATACCTCAATATCCACTATACTCCGCTTCTCTAGCGGAGTACGGTTTGGAGCAGATTGGCTACTACCTTGATGAGGACAAGCAATGGGGGCTCGATTCTGCAGAGTTAGAGAGGTCACTCACAGAAGGTTCGAAGCACTGCAATGTACGCGCCATAGTTATCATCAACCCTGGAAATCCGACTGGACAGGTTAGTTCTCATCCACCACTCCGAACGACCCTGACTATTTTCGTCCGTGAGGTTCGTGGCTCGAGTTTTCTCTAAAAGCGGTATATGGCTTGTTCAAAAACGATTAGCTCATCTCAATAGTTGACGGCTTTTTTATCAGTGAACGATAGTTTTTGAACCAGACTTTATACTTTGTATCACTTATTTAATATCCGGATTTGTGGGAATCGAACCGGCGACCCGTTTATTATTAGCTATACATTGCTGTCGTTAGACCAACGACCTTTTAAAAGACACAATTTAATATATTATTAAAAAATAAAAAGACTGTTATTTTTATAAAAAAAAAATGTTTTTTCTAGGTACTGACCCGCGAAAACATAGAAGCAATAGTGAAGTTTGCGAGCGAGCACAATTTGTTCATATTCGCTGATGAAGTGTACCAGGACAACGTGTACGCTGAGGGTAGCAAGTTCTTCTCCTTCAAGAAGGTAAATGCATTCTTCCAAACATCCCGTCTATACTAATGTTATAAAGCTGAAGAGTTTGGCGCGCTAATCTCATGAACTACTGGTTCGAATTGTCACTTTTGGGAAGCTTAAGGCATTTATCAAGCTTAAAAAAAAATTGAAAACCAACAAAGTTGATTTCAATTTTTCCACTCTCTTCGCTCGTATCGGTCAAAGCCTAGCCTTCCTTGATAAAGGCTCCAACCATCACGAAAATATTTTTTCAATTCGAGCCAGTAGTTCCTGAGATTAGCTCAAACAAACTAACTCTTCAGCTTTGTAGTTATTTGCTTTTTATTAAGTACTAGCTGTGCCCGCGACTTCGTTCGCGTGAAATAGTGACTTGGGGTGGAATTTTTAATTATTTAGGCTGTTTATTAATTTATGTTATTGCGTATTTATCGCAGCCAATCTATGTTGTAAGTGCTACTTTGCCGCAACACTCTCACCTCACATCACCCCTACTCTAACTCCCACTCCCACCCCCAACCCTCCTATTCTCAAAAACAAAAAGAAATTTTCAATGTTATATCTTCAAAAACCACAATTTCCATACAAACATTCACCCCCCTTTTAACCCCTAACAATCCTCTTTACGCAATAAAAAGTAGGCTATGTTCTTTCTCAGAGTCTAACCATGTGTACAAAATTTCATTCAAATACGCTTAGTAGTTTTGGCGTGAAAGAGTAACAGACAGAGTTACTTTCGCAATTTATGATATTACTAAGGATTTAAAAACTTTTTTTTATGCAGCTATAATTGTTTTAGCTCAGTGTTAAAGCTTAACCACCTGGGGCGGTTACAAATTTTTAATTCTTTTATTATTTGCAAGTTAATTTGATATTACGCGGAGCAAAGCCTATATGCACATTTAATAGCTTAGCTTAATTAAGTTTAACTAGCTCAGATTTTTTAGATGTACAAACACTGTTAAAAGAATGAGAGAAAAGATATAGAATTTTTGTCTTCTCTTTTTCTGTCACTCAAAGACGACAATTTAATTCTGTTGCTTTGTAGTTGATATTATACAGACCGGTTTGGGAGGAATGATAAAATTTTATTTAATATAAGTATATTATCTTTGTAAATTCTAATTATTTCATATGTTATTGCACATGAAGGCACTATATAGCTGTTGTATCTACTGTGTAGAGCCACAGCACGGAACGCTGATGCCGGTTCCAGTCCTGTCCGAGTCGTAAATTTTTTCAATTTATTTTCGATTTTAAAATGATTATCCTTGTTATGGTACTATAATAACATTTTTTTTTATTTACAGGTGATGACAGAGATGGGTGAACCATACAGCAAAATGGAGCTTGCTTCTTTCATGTCAGTCAGTAAGGTGAGAACTACTCAATACTAATTTGGTCCAAGACCAAAATAGGCCGATAGCGCATCTTGTTTTGATTATATGGCTACGGTATTCCACCTACCATCGAGTGAATCCGATGCTTGTCTGTCCTATCATAAAAAACTACATATTGTTAGTTAAATGGAAAATTATATTTGTTTTCAAACCTTGCAGCCCTTTATGTAAATTGTTCGTTCAGAAAACAAAATAGTTAAGTTACAAGTATAGCTATCATTATAGAATGTAAATAATATTTTTCGCGTTTAAAACCGTTAAGTAAGTAAAACTATGGAAAAATATGTCGTATAGTTTATCAATATTGACACGTACAATAATATATGTAAATACTGTCTATAGTTTACGCGAGTAGTACACATTTAAAACAAGAAAAACACTTTAACGTGGTCACGGGGACAGTCTCCCCGTGACCACGGCTGCTGCAAAGCATACGAAACGCCGGGCCAAAGTTAAAAATCATTTTCTAATAAGTTAAACTAATATATCGCGTTTGAAACCGTTAAAGTGTTTTATTTAAATAATATATGTTCCAGGGTTATATGGGCGAGTGCGGTCTACGTGGTGGTTGGATGGAACTAGTGAATTTCGATCCAGATGTTAAAGCCAATCTGTTCAAAGCTATATCAGCTATGCTTTGTCCCAGTTCACTGGGGCAGGCTGCCGTCGACTGTGTTGTAAGTTTTACATTTATATTTTGACAGGCTTCTTGGTGTAATGGTGCCGTGGGTTCATTCCCCACCAGGTCCAACATTTTTATAATCGATTTAATTATTATTAATTTTCTGAAACCTGTTGGAGTTCATCTGGAAATCTGGATATCTTACGTATAGATCGACAGTGCATCTTGTTTAGGTAGTTAGGCTAGGGTATATCATCTACCATCAAGTGAAGTGAAAAAAGATTGACAACTATCTGTGCCAGCGGCTTCATCCGAGTAGAATAGTTATTTTGGGCAATAAAATATGGTTTTGCAAACCACTTCCTCGTATTTATAAATAATAGCTGTTACCCACAACGTTGTTCGCTTTCCGTCGTCCTTACTAGTAAATCTTTCTCTTTTCTTATCTTTGATTTTTTTTATATAATTTTTTTGGTATCTTCATCCAATTACCATTGTAAATTTGTATTCAGGCAAAACCACCAGCTCCAGGTGAAGCCTCTTATGACCTCTGGCTAAAGGAGAAGACCTCAGTATTGCAATCGCTAGATAAACGAGCTAAGATGATCGCGGAGACATTCAATCAGATGGAGGGATTCAAGTGTAACATCGTACAGGTCAGTTGTAGATTAAGGTTCGAGCCCAAAGTCCAATTATGTTCTCCAAGTTCTCAAATTAAACTCTGTTATTTCATGTTTTTAAGGCATGAGCGATAACTTTGACGAGATCACTTTGCGCAGGAGTGCGTGTGTCATTGGCTTGAATCATTTAGAGCGCGAGTTACAGTTTTTAAACTGGACATTGACAATGTTGTTCGATTTTCCTAAGATAGTAAAACTGAAATAAAACACTTTAAAGGTTTAAAACACAGTATATATTAGTTAAACTTATTTGAACTTGAGTTTACTCGCGTAAAATATAGACAGCATTTGAATAATAGCAGTAAAATAGTTAATTTTTTTCAATCTAAAATCAGTTCTCAATTTAAATATTATATTTTGTAATGTTTAACTTAGCAATGCACTTTTGTTTTAGGGCGCCATGTACGCGTTCCCACAAATAACTATGCCCCCCAAAGCCATTGAAGCAGCCAAGCAAGCAGGCAAAGCGCCCGACGTCTTCTACGCCTTCCAGCTTCTTGAGAATACTGGTGAGTGATTATGCATAGAGAAGAAAACACTCAGTAAAAAGAAATATCGTCATAGGAGAAACAGCCATCATAAATAAGAACCCGTTTAGGTCTAAATAACGATGATATTAATTACAGAGCTTAATAACTATCATTAAAATCAATTAAGTATTACAAATTGTACAACACACTATGTGTCAGAGTAACAAATAACTTCGACTACTGTCATGGGGGGTAGCGGTGACAAATCACTAGAGACGGTGGTACAAATCGTTAGAAGTGCCGATCAGGCTCGAACAATAAAGTATGTGACGTAATTGATGACGTCAGATGCACGTGCCACCTGCGCACAGAGTCACTGTACTATTAAATCCTGAACTACCGCCGCCGTCATATAAATACGGAAGGGTATTCGTCCTTTTCTCAAGCCACTCTACTTGGTTATTATTAGCACTAGTACTTAAAAGGACATTACCTACCACCTAGTTTCTTAACCTTAACGATTTTCTTTTTCAGGAATCTGCATAGTGCCCGGCACTGGTTTTGGACAGCGTCCCGGCACATACCACTTCCGCACAACCATCCTACCGCAACCGGCCCTCCTCCAAGAGATGCTGGACATATTCAAAGGGTTCCACGAGAAGTTCACAAAAGAATACTCCTAAATATAACAATCTATTGATCTTTTTACGTTGAATTGCTATGTTTTATTGTTATTCAATTAATATTTATTTTTAAAGACGGTTAAGAAGGAATTCTATAGTGCTGTATGCTCAAGAAATTTCTTACAATATGTGTTCACTATTGTAGGCTATCTATAAAATATGTCACTCGACTCGATTAATTATACGATGTGACGTCACTAATTTCGGATTCGAACTATGAATCTATAAATCCTAGAATCTAAGAACATTACTTTGATATTTTTAAACTACCCACATTTTTTTTACACGGTTTTCTTGACTACCCTCTTTAACGCGTGATTGTATTCTATGGATAGCCTGTAATAGCTACAACGTCAACAATTCTATAAGGTTATAATTCCTTCTATGCTTTTATACAATACATGCCATACCTTTTATAGTGAAGCAAATGTTTTTTTTTGAAAAAGTAGAACTTCAAACTGCTCAAGTGTTTTGTGTACCAAATACCAAAATGTCGCCCATGACTACAAAGTTGGATTTGCAAAACAGGATATTGATTCAATATTTAAATTATTTATATTTTTGTAATCACTTAATTTCGTGAACTGTACAAGATGTGTCTAGGAAACTATTTTAAAAGCTGGTATATAATGTGTAAGAGAAACGTCAGTTGCCACCTTCTTGACGGTTGAATCTTATTATAATTTGTCGGAAGTACCACAACCAACATTCTTGCATGTATATATGACCGATACTAATTCTACCATACATACCACCATATCTTTATTTGGATAAAAAGTGAAGACGATATTGGATTGCATAATATCGTTTTACTTATACTACAATCTTTATAATTAAAACTCATTATTGAAAAACTCGTAATTTTACTCTGTAGGTTAGAAAACCATTTAAAAGCGATAATCTACATTCAACGTAGTACAATGTAATTTTAAAAACTAGGATATGGTTCTTCCCAAAGTCAAATCATTTTAAAAAACACTAACGATGGGCGTGGCACATCCTAAATATTTTTAAATGCATATTAAAATAAATTCAGTATAAATTTAACAGTGACTAATTTATAAATTTTTTAATTTAAAAAACCATTTTGACACTACGGTTGACCGGCATTTAAGATAACTTTTCATAACTCAATTTTTATCATACAATAACCTATTTTTTCCAGATCCCACTTTGTTAACGGTCATCGGGTAACGTGATCTAATTAAAAGCAATTGTGATATAAGAAAATGTTAAACAACAATAATTTGATAAGATGTATTTGATACTTTGGTTATTTATTTATTTTTGTGTTCGTCCTTTCGGTTCGCAAGTTTTGTTATTTTATATGTACAAATAAGTTTTTATTTCACATTTTGTTTAACGAAATGGATTTAGGCAACACTTATTTATACTAGTTGATCGCACTTTATTTATCTAGTCGGACCGTGCCATTACTACACTCGACGACGTTACCGAAATATTCAGAATAAAATCTCAGAAGTTCCTAAAACTCGATACATAATATTTAAATAAAACACTTTAACGGTTTAAAACGCGATATATATTGGTTAAGCTTATTTGCAAATTATTTTAACTACTCTCCGTGACCACGGCTGCTGCGAAGCGACCGAAACGTCGGGCCGTAGTTAAAATAATTTTCAAATAAGTTTAACTAATATACTTATATCGCGTTTTAAACCGTTAGTGTTTCATTTAAATGTGTGCTACTCGCGTTACTTACATACAGTATTTCATACATAATATTGTTAATAATGTTTTTGAAATGGTTGGCACAATTTATTCTAGCCCAAATTGCATTTTTTGATTGTTGCGAATTATCAATAATTATTTGTGTAAAAGCATTCCGCTTGAGTAACCGAATGAGATTGTTATTTAATAAAAGTTATATCTATAATGTTTTTGTTCTTTTTTCGCAATCCAGAAGTTTTGGGCATGCAAAAATTGCTTTTGCAAAACTCCTCATGTTTATTTAAGCTGTTACCCACGACGTTGGTCGCGTCCCGTCGTTCTTGCAAGTTGCAAGAGCATTTTCTGAGATAATCAAGAGGAATCATACATATTTTTGGGTATCATGAAACGTTTTCCCGAATAATTCCCACACTATTTTGTTGCTCCTATTAGACACAGCGAGAGGTTTCATAGAGGGCCTATAGCCCTGACAATGCTCTAACCAACACAAAAAAAATTCACGATCAAACAATCTCGTCGGCTATTAGTATAGATTTCATTGTTTTTAACGGTTCGAAACCGGTTGTATATAAAAAATGACATTGTTTACCGTTGTTATTATTCGAAGTATTTTTTTGAGGCTTACCCGACCGAAACAAAATATATAAGGCCCGAAATCGAACATTGATCCATTGTCCTTAACTCATTGCTACGCGTTCAACCATTTACGTATGGCGGCCAGTAAAAAGTAACTAAAATAAAACACGATATATTAGTTAAACTTATTTGAAAATGATTTTTAACTTCGGCCCGACGGTTCGGATGCTTTGCAGCAGCCGTGGTCACGGGGAGACTAAAGATGGAGGATGTCTCTGACGTCAAGGTAAAAAATTGCTACGCTAGCGCCATCTGTTCCGTCGAAGTTGGTATTTGGCGAAACTGGCCGAAACGTCGGGCCGAAGATAAAAATCATTTTCAAATAAGTTTAACTAATATATCGCGTTTTAAACCGTTAAAGTGTTTTATTTAAACGTGTACCACTCGCGTAAACTATAGACAGTATTTAATTAGTAATCAATTAAATATTAATGATAATCAGAGTAATAACATTTTGATTTAAATCAACGTTTTTGATTGCACATAGTAAATCGGCCCTGAGTGAATAAAGATTGGTGAAGTACCGTCTAAAAGGAAACTTACCGCAGAAACCTAAGGTTATCGTCACTAACTTCTTCGGGGATTCTCGACTGATTACGCACTGTACTTGTATTGTTTGTATGCTGTATTTATATACAGGGAGATCCCTATGTCCTCTTAGATAAAAAAGCTATCCTTTTTAACGATAGAGCACACACGCATGGGGTGAACATCAGTCTATAACATCTAAGCAAGAAGCGCTGTTATGCTATTTTGGCAGAGATACAAACCGAAGCGTGTTCAAACTTTACGGCCTTTACGGATTTCCGACATGTTTCAGAAGAATTATAAATTGATTTGAAAAATCTTGGAGTTGGACCCAGTGGGGATCGAACCCGCTACCCTTTGATAATTAGCCCTACATTGCTACTATTACAAGTACACCAACGGGCCTACAACACTGTTTGAAAACTAGGTATTTATAGAAATTAAAAAAAAACTTATTATGCGGCTTAGTCTGTAGAGAGCGCGCCGACTACGTTACTTGGTCGTAGATTCGACTCCCGCCTGTATCCCCTATTTTGTTAATTCAGTTAAAAATGAAATTAACGTTTTTCAATTCTTGTTGCTCGTATTTGATAAATTCTACGATCACAAAAAATGATAGCGCAATTGGTAGATCAGTAGTCATAGACTCTAATCCGTGCCATACAATATTTAAATTTAAAATTTCCTATAAGCCCGTTGTAATGTTGTATTTTTATGTTCTTTGTTCTGATTGGGATACGAATATCATCTGTGTAATGAAACCGTACATATAAGTGCGGTGAATTTTGAGCACACAAGGAAAACCGCGCATGGATGGAATAACAAATTTCTTTGTGATGCCTTCCGTACAAACTGAACAAGTGAATGTAGTAATAAAGGGGAAAGCCCAAATGAATTGAGTAAAATTTTGGGTTTCTAGAGTCATTAGAGTTGACCACTTAACAACAATGACAACTCGGCTATTTCTACCACGCAAGTTAAAAAAATCCTACATATTAGATCCTAGAGACAAATTATTGCTTACTTTCTAATAAATACGCTGAATATAATAAAAAATAGAATTTACAGAGCGGTCAGTCCCCTTCCCGCCCCTCTGTGGTTAACTCTATCAATGCATTTCTTTCAGGAAATGTAAGTCAAAAGAAATATGGCCAGCAATTTATATATTAATTAATATTATAAAGCTGAAGAAATTTGTTCAACTGTGTTCGGTGGTTCGTGTCCCGTTTTGTATATCCAGTTTTCCTGGCATGTGTCAAACTTATAAATTGCTTAGAAGCATGTTATATCCGGTGATACGAACCCACGACCCGTTGATGTTATTAACCATTACCAGACCAACGAGTCTGTCTAATTCTTCTACAAATCGATCGCAATCAAAAACGAATCAACGATGAGGTAAAACCTAGTCGGGAATCACCGAGCTGACTAACTCTTAAATAAAAGAACTTCGTTTGCACACTCGTACGCAGTCTTAATTCTCAACTGAAAGAGATAGCGAAGCAAAGATGAAGTTAGAAAAGTGTGTTACCATTGACAACGTGAACAGGAACTTGCTGAACATTCGTTATGCGGTCCGGGGACCCATTGTTGATCGGGCTTTGCAGATCGAGAGAGAATTGGCTAAGGTCGGTATATCTTTACTAATATAAAGCAAGAGAACAAAAATAAAGCACTTTCAACGGTTTAGAACTCAAAATAAATACTAATATATTTCGAGTAAACTAACTATAGTTTATAACTACGAGTCAAAGTTTCAGATACTTTGTAGCAGATTGCTAGTATATTAAAATCGTTTTTTGATTTAAAAAAGATACGATACGTGTGTTTACCCGTAATAGTTTTATGACCCGGCATCTATAGCATGCTGTTTTACGCTGTTGAGTTTTTTCAACCTATCGATAAATGTATCTCTCGCGCAATGTAATTTATACCTTAAATCTCAGTGTTAAGGTTTAATGTCTTATGTTTTGCAGCTTAAGAAAATCATTGAAGAAGAAATTGCACAGTTATAACGTCTTAAAACTTTAATATTTTTCAGAATTGTTATTGCACATGTCACTATATACTTGTGACTGCAAAGTATATCTTTGCAGTCACCGTAGTTAAATTAAATTAAAATTAAGTTAACTACCATGTATCGCCTTTAAACCGGGATTTACTTATTTAAATAAAACACTAACGGTTTAGACCGCGGTATATTATTAGTTAAATTTAATTAAAAATTATTTCCGGCCCGAGTTTTGGAATAGTTTACCTAATGTATATCGCGTTTTAAACCGATAAAGTGTTTAATTTGAATAATACTACTCGCGTTAACTATAGACAGTAGGAATTACCTATATTCTATTTTAATACATTCGTGTAGGTGCAAGAAAGTTATAGCGAGGGGCGTCGGGCGTCGGGTCCGAGATTAAACGTACGACGTTCGTGTTCCCTCCTGAGGTCTCAGGCAATAAATTTATTCCTTTTATTTCTCTTCGAAACGAGATTATTACTATGTAAGACTATGGCACGTAGACGGGGCGGAAAGGGTTCCGTAATTGAAGACCCTTTTTACGTTAAAGGTCCAAATAAGACGTAATAATCATGAAAAATGGAATAATTTTAAAGTAAATGTAGCTATCCTTCTGCATTTTTCACGGCAATTTAAAAGCCACCAAGTTCAAACTCTTTTTATACATCAAATCAAATGAATCACTTAAAACTTCATTTAATTCATATAGAGTAATGGAATGCCTTAGCCACTCTAAAAATATATATTGTTGTAATTAGGGGGCACAAATGCGCAGACATATAGACAATAATTCTAAAAATTATTGTTTTTAAGGTTACAAACAATGTTAATACAACATAACGGTTTTTTATAATATTTTGTAACATTTATCATTCACATACAAACAGCGACGTTGCTCCAATAAATGTCTAATAATCAACGGGTCGTGGGTTAATCCCCACCGGGTCCACCATGTTTCTAAATAATTTATAATCTTTCTGAAACATGTTAGATTTCGTCTAGAAATCTGAATATTAAATTGGTGGTAGGAATATCGATATTCCCTCCGGGTCACGAACCACCGTTCACAGATGAAAAAGCCGTGAAGTTAATCGCGTTTCGGTTTTAACCTGTAGATTATCGAACATTTAAAGCTAAAATAGATAGACCGTGCGTCTTGTTGAGGATTTATATGGCTTGGGACTTCATCTTCTATCAAGTAAATCAGATGATTCTCCCTAAATGTCGTAATATTAAGAAGTAATCGTTATTTTATTCACATCATTTTTCTTAATTCCAAACAAGACGCACACAGAGCAACTCCATTCAAAGAACATCCAAGTTATGTAATGTTTTGCTTCTTCATATCAAGCAACACATCGTTTCATGTACAAGCGAAACAATAGGGATTTCCGAAGACATCCCTAGTTAGGCTGTGGTATCCTATAATTGCCAGTTATAGCAGCTATTGTGAATAATTGTACAATTAACTCGGTAAAGAAAGATATACCAACTAGAATGTGATAGTCAACTGTTTTAATTTAAGAGGAGGATGATGGTGGGTGAAACCCCAGCCTATATCTAAACAAGATGCGCTATACGCCTATTTTGTCTTCGGATATCCGGAATTTCACAGACTGCAACCGAAACGCGAAGAAACCTCACGGCTCTTTCATTTATGAACGGAGAATTGCGACCCGCACTCATTTAATATCCCGATTTCAAGACGAAGTCCAACATGTTTCAAAAAATATAAATGTTGGACCCGGCGGGGTCTGAACCCACGAACCATAGCTACCAGTAGACCAAACGAGCCCCTCGGACTGTATTGTAGGAAACCACAGCCTAAGGCGAAAAGACAGCGGCAAGATTTATATATGTGTTTGCGTCTGCCGCCGGCGACAACATTGTTACATAACACACGGCCTTTTTAAAGCTCCGTTTTCTCTCAATTCATTATCATTTATAATGTCTGTAGTTTACGCGAGTAGTACACATTTAATAAAACACTAACGGTTTAAAACGCGATTTATATTATCTGACAATTATTTTAACTTCGGCCCGAAGTTTCGTTTCGTTTTTTTTTTACTTTGACTTCTGATACACCCCTCATCTTTATTATCCCCACGGCTTGTAACTAATATATATCGCGTTTTAAACCGTTACAGTGTTTTATTTAAATTCATTATCATTTTCCATTCGAGAAGCGAGTTTAAAAATGTTGAATGAAATTCACGTCTCGTCTGTCAAAGTTATCGCGAGTCGGGCGTGTTCAGACTTAACTTACTTTTCCTAGTCAGATTTAGCGTGTTTAATTACGATCTGCCTCAAAATAAATTTAGTTCACGGAGTGTTCTCGAAGTTATTACTGGGTCGAGGTTACCTTTTTAGTTTCGCTCACGTTTGCTCTGTAAGTCATAGTTTAAATAGAACTAATAGTGCATCAATTATTGCCTTATATATTTTAATTACCTACACTTACATAAATTCAATCGGATAGAAACTTATAAATTGCTTAGAAGCATGTTATATCCGGTGATACGAACCCACGACCCGTTGATGTTATTAACCATTACCAGACCAACGAGTCTGTCTAATTCTTCTACAAATCGATCGCAATCAAAAACGAATCAACGATGAGGTAAAACCTAGTCGGGAATCACCGAGCTGACTAACTCTTAAATAAAAGAACTTCGTTTGCACACTCGTACGCAGTCTTAATTCTCAACTGAAAGAGATAGCGAAGCAAAGATGAAGTTAGAAAAGTGTGTTACCATTGACAACGTGAACAGGAACTTGCTGAACATTCGTTATGCGGTCCGGGGACCCATTGTTGATCGGGCTTTGCAGATCGAGAGAGAATTGGCTAAGGTCGGTATATCTTTACTAATATAAAGCAAGAGAACAAAAATAAAGCACTTTCAACGGTTTAGAACTCAAAATAAATACTAATATATTTCGAGTAAACTAACTATAGTTTATAACTACGAGTCAAAGTTTCAGATACTTTGTAGCAGATTGCTAGTATATTAAAATCGTTTTTTGATTTAAAAAAGATACGATACGTGTGTTTACCCGTAATAGTTTTATGACCCGGCATCTATAGCATGCTGTTTTACGCTGTTGAGTTTTTTCAACCTATCGATAAATGTATCTCTCGCGCAATGTAATTTATACCTTAAATCTCAGTGTTAAGGTTTAATGTCTTATGTTTTGCAGCTTAAGAAAATCATTGAAGAAGAAATTGCACAGTTATAACGTCTTAAAACTTTAATATTTTTCAGAATTTTTATTGCACATGGCGCTATATACTTGTGACTGCAAAGTATATCTTTGCAGTCACCGTAGTTAAATTAAATTAAAATTAAGTTAACTACCATGTATCGCCTTTAAACCGGGATTTACTTATTTAAATAAAACACTAACGGTTTAGACCGCGGTATATTATTAGTTAAATTTAATTAAAAATTATTTCCCGGCCCGACGTTTTGGAATAGTTTACCTAATGTATATCGCGTTTTAAACCGATAAAGTGTTTAATTTGAATAATACTACTCGCGTTAACTATAGACAGTAGGAATTACCTATATTCTATTTTAATACATTCGTGTAGGTGCAAGAAAGTTATAGCGAGGGGCGTCGGGCGTCGGGTCCGAGATTAAACGTACGACGTTCGTGTTCCCTCCTGAGGTCTCAGGCAATAAATTTATTCCTTTTATTTCTCTTCGAAACGAGATTATTACTATGTAAGACTATGGCACGTAGACGGGGCGAAAGGGTTCCGTAATTGAAGACCCTTTTTACGTTAAAGGTCCAAATAAGACGTAATAATCATGAAAAATGGAATAATTTTAAAGTAAATGTAGCTATCCTTCTGCATTTTTCACGGCAATTTAAAAGCCACCAAGTTCAAACTCTTTTTATACATCAAATCAAATGAATCACTTAAAACTTCATTTAATTCATATAGAGTAATGGAATGCCTTAGCCACTCTAAAAATATATATTGTTGTAATTAGGGGGCACAAATGCGCAGACATATAGACAATAATTCTAAAAATTATTGTTTTTAAGGTTACAAACAATGTTAATACAACATAACGGTTTTTTATAATATTTTGTAACATTTATCATTCACATACAAACAGCGACGTTGCTCCAATAAATGTCTAATAATCAACGGGTCGTGGGTTAATCCCCACCGGGTCCACCATGTTTCTAAATAATTTATAATCTTTCTGAAACATGTTAGATTTCGTCTAGAAATCTGAATATTAAATTGGTGGTAGGAATATCGATATTCCCTCCGGGTCACGAACCACCGTTCACAGATGAAAAAGCCGTGAAGTTAATCGCGTTTCGGTTTTAACCTGTAGATTATCGAACATTTAAAGCTAAAATAGATAGACCGTGCGTCTTGTTGAGGATTTATATGGCTTGGGACTTCATCTTCTATCAAGTAAATCAGATGATTCTCCCTAAATGTCGTAATATTAAGAAGTAATCGTTATTTTATTCACATCATTTTTCTTAATTCCAAACAAGACGCACACAGAGCAACTCCATTCAAAGAACATCCAAGTTATGTAATGTTTTGCTTCTTCATATCAAGCAACACATCGTTTCATGTACAAGCGAAACAATAGGGATTTCCGAAGACATCCCTAGTTAGGCTGTGGTATCCTATAATTGCCAGTTATAGCAGCTATTGTGAATAATTGTACAATTAACTCGGTAAAGAAAGATATACCAACTAGAATGTGATAGTCAACTGTTTTAATTTAAGAGGAGGATGATGGTGGGTGAAACCCCAGCCTATATCTAAACAAGATGCGCTATACGCCTATTTTGTCTTCGGATATCCGGAATTTCACAGACTGCAACCGAAACGCGAAGAAACCTCACGGCTCTTTCATTTATGAACGGAGAATTGCGACCCGCACTCATTTAATATCCCGATTTCAAGACGAAGTCCAACATGTTTCAAAAAATATAAATGTTGGACCCGGCGGGGTCTGAACCCACGAACCATAGCTACCAGTAGACCAAACGAGCCCCTCGGACTGTATTGTAGGAAACCACAGCCTAAGGCGAAAAGACAGCGGCAAGATTTATATATGTGTTTGCGTCTGCCGCCGGCGACAACATTGTTACATAACACACGGCCTTTTTAAAGCTCCGTTTTCTCTCAATTCATTATCATTTATAATGTCTGTAGTTTACGCGAGTAGTACACATTTAATAAAACACTAACGGTTTAAAACGCGATTTATATTATCTGACAATTATTTTAACTTCGGCCCGAAGTTTCGTTTCGTTTTTTTTTTACTTTGACTTCTGATACACCCCTCATCTTTATTATCCCCACGGCTTGTAACTAATATATATCGCGTTTTAAACCGTTACAGTGTTTTATTTAAATTCATTATCATTTTCCATTCGAGAAGCGAGTTTAAAAATGTTGAATGAAATTCACGTCTCGTCTGTCAAAGTTATCGCGAGTCGGGCGTGTTCAGACTTAACTTACTTTTCCTAGTCAGATTTAGCGTGTTTAATTACGATCTGCCTCAAAATAAATTTAGTTCACGGAGTGTTCTCGAAGTTATTACTGGGTCGAGGTTACCTTTTTAGTTTCGCTCACGTTTGCTCTGTAAGTCATAGTTTAAATAGAACTAATAGTGCATCAATTATTGCCTTATATATTTTAATTACCTACACTTACATAAATTCAATCGGATAGAAACACAAGTGAACAGTATAAATTAAATCCCCTTTCCCCTCGTGGGGCATGGGGCGAACACATTTCTGTGTCAATTTCACTGTCAAGTTTTATTTACAGGCAAGTAGTTGAGACTTCTGTGCCCTGCCCGATCGAAACAATTTACTGTTTCCCCAGGATTCGAACCCAGGACCTCTCGCGCTCAACGCAATGCTAGGCAACACGTTTAACCATTTAGCTACAGAGGCGGTATATTGCCTTGTCCTACATGTCATGGTCGTGTGTCGGTTCAAGTCCTGTCGGTGTCGTAATTTTTTTTTAAAACTAAAATCGATTTTTCATTTATACAATGCTGTAATGTGAAACATGTGAAAAATTATGTATATGTAACCACCTCCGGTCAAGTGGGTATCCTGATTGAATTACACAGTTATAGTTGCCTCTCTGTCTGTATCGTAACTGGGATTCAAGATCCCATATAAGAGGGAATTTTTTTATAATAACAAACAAAGGGGGGTCGGGTATAAACTTACGTCATCACTCAGTATGCTCACTGAATTTACGATTATGTATGTCGGCGCATAAGCGCCAGAGGTTTCGTGGTCCGAGTCAATTTTAATGAAAAACTCACACAGATGACAGCTTCGTCTATTTTGATGACTCTCCGAATTAGACTGACTGTATTTTACAATAAATCCCATATTGATAGGCAACGGTTACTACAAACACATCTTCCTTTAAAAAGTAATTGAAATGATTATATAAAGTATTAAAATATAGTTGAATATTCTAAATTAATATAATTATTAATTTTACATGATTCCAAATGGTTTATTTTACACGAATAACATTTATCCTATAAATAAAATTCATTTGCTTATAAACTATGAAATCTTACAATAGATGGCGCCACTAGTTGCACGCAAGTCAAATTAAGCTTTATTCGTTGAATAAAATAATTAAATATAATTCAAATATTATTAATCTAATTTTACTGTGAGTCATCATCACCATTAGATTGTGATTATAACTCAAACACTAAATTAAAATATTTATTACATAGTTTAATAATCAAAATACTGATAGGCGCCCATATGACAATATTTCGAAAAATTTCTTACACGCGGGCTTTAATCATACCTATGCTACTACTAGTATAGTTATTGCGAACCTGCATCTCGTATTTATGAGTTATAGCAACGATGGGTCCCGTCGATCTTGCAAGTTAATCTTAAAATTAGACATATACTGTCATGGACATTTTTTATAGCATTTAAAGAGGAATCATTATTTTATACATATTGTGTTGGTTCCTTGAACCGTTTTCATAGAGCATGCAACGCTAACCCTTTAAAAATTTATGTTTATCATCGTTCTATTCCTTGCATCATGATGTATTACAACCGTTCTCGATAAATGCTCTAACAAACACAAAAATATTTTTTTCAATTCGAACCGGTACTTCCTGAGATTAGCGCGTTCAAACAAATAAACTCTTCAGCTTTATACATTAGTATAGTTTTGGTAGTAACATAAAGATAAAATTTATTAAAAACTGTGCACAATCAACTGTCACACGCGACACCCAAAAGCGTTTGCCGATGCGCGCTTCCTTCGCTCGGCCGTCTTATCCATAATACAAAACTACCCACCAATTTATTCCGAATAATCTACATAATGAAGTTCTATAAAAATATTTTGAAAGGCAAAAATTCCACCTACTATATTATTACCTACTTATCCGCACTGCAGATGTAGGGAGTGGAACATAACAAGCCAGCTCGGTCCTGGACGCGCCATTTTGTTCTTTTCAGTCTGTGGCGATGCCTAACTGGCAGCTGCAGCCGTGACACGTTCTTTTAGGGTTTTTTCGCCCTTTGACCGAAAAACATCAATTTAAAATAGCAAACGTTGGGCAATTTCGTTCCAGCTCACGCGTCGTGTGCATGCATCGGAAATATATTTTTCTGCATCATTTACGTTTATACGAAACTGGTGATGTCCCGCGGTTACCCGTGATTCGGCTTATAGAAATTATAAATCTATTTTAGACTCTTAAATGAAAGTCTCAAACGTGTCATCGTATATTTATCTAACTACAGTAGATTTTACCAATAATTTTAAAATCAGAGTAAATTTCCACTTGGGCAGT